GGCTTCTCTCTACTCCTTGCCGCGGTAGACGCGCAGGTGCGAGAGAATCCATCCGGACGGGCCCGTGATGGTGAGGACGAACGCGCCCAGCGCCAACACGGTATCCTGAACACGCGCACGCGCACAAAGACAAAGATCCCCCCCCCCCACCTCTCAGTGTAGCCTTAACAGACTGTCGGGGCAAGTGCTGTTAGCGAGGAGCAGCACCTATGAAGGCCGGCACGGTGGCACACGATGGGGTGGGTAGCCAACAAACACGCTTACACACCGCACCAGGTACTTTTTTGAGATACTCCTTCAATCGGTATGCCCCTCGTATGTGGAGCTCCCAGCCGCGCGGCGCTGATGTTACGTGAGCGCAGACTCAGTGCCCTACATCACACGCCGTCGTCTGTGCAGACTAACACAAATACAACGGATGCCTGCCGTCCCCCACCGCGCGCAATGAATCCACGAGCAGCACCGAGCATGCTACAGCATTCTGAATACCGTCCGCGCGGTTCGTGTTGTACGAGTTATCCTACACGGAGCCTTGCAAGTGTCCGTCCGGCACGGTGTGGTTGGTGAAAGGCGTCGCTGCAATGCGAGCGCCACGATGCACACGCGGGTGTCGAGGCGATGTGTTGCGCAACGCACGCAGAGACCCTGGTGTGAAAATCACACAAATGGATAAAGAGGTGGACACGACATGATTAGTGTGCGAGTGAGTGCCATTTGAAACCATTGGGTAGTTTGACAGCAGCAGTACGACGATGATGATGTGATGATGATGATGTGATGATGATGGGGGTGTTTTCACTTTTTGTGTGTCGTCGATACGAGTGAGTGCCATTTGAAACCATTGGGTAGTTTGACAGCAGCATCACGACGATGATGTGATTATGATGTGATGGTGATGATGTGATGATGATGGGGGTGTTTTCACTCTTTGTGTATCGTCGATGGTGGTTGTACGTCAGGGGCCCGCGGGCCTCACAATGAAGAACCCTGGGATAAAGGGAATCGAATTTGAATTCGGGTCACCGCCGGGTTTGTCTCTAGCGCAGTGCGCTAACCGCTGCGCCACCACTCCCCCCAGCGCCAACGTTATGTAACCTTCAGACGATTACGTCGCTTAAAGTGTCCGCCGCATTTCATGGGCTCGGACTCACGCATTGGCTGGCGACGTGGAACATGCGTTAATAGCGGTTCTAGATTTGAAGCTTTCGTGACTGCAAGGATTCATATTATTAGGTTTTTTCGGTAAAGTCACGTAGGTAATAAAAAAATAAAAATAAAATTAAAATCACGACGTTTCGGAGGCAACACAAGCTTCCGTCTTCAGGTGGAACCGTCACAGCACGATTGCTGTATTTTACCTACGTGACTTTACCGAAAAAACCTAAGAATAGTAAATAGCGGCTTTAAAAGTTCAGAGTAAAATAAGCGAATGAACTAAAACACAACGTACGATTGTGCGGTACAGTCTAGAATAACTGCGCTTCGTTGTGAATTCGCTATTGTGCGTGAGCTGGCAAATGGGTCTAATCGAGGCAACATAGCTGCTGTGCGTAACACGCAGAGCGTGTTGTATCACGGGGCGAGGCGGTGGATAGAGAGGCGTGTGACGGACGCATTGGTGAACGCACTGCGCCTATCCCTGAACCCGGCCCGCCTGAGTTAGAGTCCCGAGCAGAGTTACCGACAGTGGGCCAACGAAATCTGGACACCGATATCACCAATCCGCGTGGGCCCAGCGTGGTGAAGTATGGTCAAACGACCCCCACGACTGACTGACACGGCGAAGGGGGAAGCCCTCCATCCAGCAGTGGATGAACGCGCCTCGAGTATGAGCTGGAGGCGGCCGTTGTTTGCGAGCGCCTATTAATGCCGCAGTTCAAATCGCAGCTACACAACGCGAGAAGGGACAGGGATCCCTCTTGTGAAGTCTGTCGACTGTCGGGGCGTGGTGTGCCTCTCGATGTGTTCACTCCGACACGGGAGCCACTGCGCGGCTGCGTGGTCGCCGCAATGACCCCGGCGATGATGTTCGCACACCGAGCAAAGTGCTCGTTTGCTTTTGAGGCTAAGTCTACGTAGAGGGGGGGGGGAGGTCCGGTAGCGATTCGTGTGTACCGTGTGTACAACTCGCGGCTGATGTTGGCCCTGGACGCGGATTCGACTGCGGCTCGCCGGGTTGGTGGCGGAGCAGTGCGCTCGCGACGCCAGGGACCTTCACGACGCACGCAGCACTCAGTGGCACTCGCCTCACCGCAGCGTTTGTGCCAGGCTAGGTGCGCAACAGCAGCTAAGATCCCCCGTGTGGCCTCAACATACTGAAGGTCGGTACGGCACACGATGGGGGGGGGGGGGGGGCTGGTGACCAGCATCACGTCGGGCCGCCTTTGTCTCCCGAGTGGCGATGTTTTATACACCGCACCAGGTACTCATTTGATGCTGAGTCGACCTAGAGGAGACCCAGGACAGGTTCAGATATTCGTCACTGGTGTTGGTCGTGAGCGGGAACCGGGTTGGTAGCGCAGCGCGCTAACAAAAAACAAAGACAAAGATCCCCCGTATAGCCTGAGCAGTCTGTTGGGGCAAGTGCTGTTAGCGAGCGCCTATGAAGTCCGATAGGGCACACGAGGGGGTGGGTGGCCAACACCACGCCCGACCGCCTTTGTCTCCCTAGTGGCGGTTGTGCACTCACCGCACCAGCTACTCATTTGAGGCTGAGTCGACCTAGGGAAGGTCCCAGGACCGGTTGGGATAATCGTCACTGGTGTTGGCCGTGAGCGGGAATCAAACTCGGGCAGCCCGATTCGTAGCGCAGCGTGGCGCTAACCGCCGCACCACCGCTCCCAACAGCGCGCTAACATCACACAGACACACACACACAGTACTTACCACAACTCCGATCTTCACCTCTGCGGGTCTCGAATGAATGGCGGCACGGGGGGCCGCGACTCGAGACGGACCCTGCAAAGCTGCCCGGAGCATCGCTCCCTGCGCCCGACCAAGAAGAGCCATGGCCGCGTGAGTGACGCCGACCCTGGGAAGAGGACGCGAACCGTGAGCGTGGAGGGCGAGAGGAGGAGGAGGAGCAGGAGGACTAGGAGCTGGGCACAGCGAGTGACAGCGAGCCGGCTTCTGGAGTCACGGAGTCGCTCAGCCACCGAGCCGCGCACTTTGACGCACAGAGTGGCGATTGGATGGTCGCTCGGGGCCAATGAGGCTCCGCGCGTGGCGAGGGATGGCGGAATATTTGGTTGCGACCCGCAGGATATTTTATAACGATCGATCGTGGTCACTTATGTAACCGTGCAGCGGTGTCTCAAACGAGACTCACGAATGATGACGCTGCTGCTGCTGCTTGAGACGATGCGCCTTCTGATGCGGATGACGATACTAATTCCGATGTTTTTGATGACAATCGCTGTTGATGCTTTGTAATTGTACGACGGCGATGATGTTTACCCAATGAGAAACGAATGGCGTTGGTCGGTGGCCCAATGACTCCGTGCGCGAGAATGATGGCTTTGGTGGCGACGACCCACGGAATATTAATAATGAATGATGGTCACTTACGTAACCAAGTCTCCAACGAGACTGAACAGGGACGACGTTCATAAAACTGACGCTGCTGCGGATTTTGATTACTGACGCTTCTGGTGATTACCCACGGCGTTAAGGATACCGACGATGCTACGACTACTTTCGATGACGATTCTCCCGATGACATTTGATGCAGATACCTTCAATTGTTTGCTGACGTTGCTGGATGCTGCTGGCTGCTGCTGCTGACTTGAACGCAATTACTGTTGGTGTTCGCTAGGGGTCATTAATAGACTCGCGCGAGACGTCTCGCGGACAACAAACACATTCCTCCTGCGGAGGAAGCTGGTAGGAACGTTGGGTTGCTCGGTCAATGGCCAGGGTCAACGGCGGCGTGGTGTATTCCGCAAATATGCCCGACTGTGAGGGCGGGCACAAGCCGGCGTGAGTAGGTTAAACGTTGAGTTTTATAAGGGCACCACGGGGTGACCAGCCCCTCCCCTCCCACCCCAACCTTCCCACCCAGTCCCTCCACGCCCAGCCCCTCCCTCCCTCCCCTCCCAGCCCCTCCCCCCCCACCCAGCCCCTCCCCGCCCAGCCCCTCACCTCCCCACCCAGCCCCTCCCTCCTCTCTCCACCCAGCCGCACCCCTCCCATTTTTGGATGCACGACGGACGGACACAATAATCCCATGTGGGCTGGTGTAACCAGGAGGCTCCTACCAGTATGTCTATAGCGCTCTTATGCATCCAGCAATGCCGAGACTCGGCTGATTGTGACGTATGATTTTTGTTGTTGCCTATGACGTTTATGAGTATGTATTTGCGGATGTTGCGACTGCTGCTGCTTCCGCTGACCTTGATTTTTGTGACCATCAGAGGTGCTATAAATTACTCGCGAAACACTAAAGCCATAGTTTGCATTCAAATATTATACTTAAATTTTTTATGATTCTTCGGCATTCAATCCAGCTGTACTGCCTTTCATGGAACTTATCCACTCATTATGAATCAATACATCTATATCGTAAAAGCCCGGCGTTCCGTTTATCCGTTAACTAATACATACCAGCCTTTCAGAAGACCTCGATTAAAAAAGTCGTAGAAAGTGGAACCCCCCCCCACGAGAAGCGGGGTAAGAAGTTGATACAAGGTTTACAATTGTAGACCAAACGCCCCCCACCAATTTTTTCACTCCCTCAAAAATAAAGTTTTGTCAGCATACATACCTACACAGCCAACACAAAATCGAGTCCAGATTTCTTTTGTAGGAAGGAGCTAGAATGCCACCGAAATTCGAGTGTACGAAAAATGATAAATTCCTGTTCCATATGCACATCACAATTAATAGAAAATTACAATTTAACCCCCCCCCCACTCACTGTATTCTAAATTATAAAAGCATACAAAAGCAAATAACCGAGTCTGAAATATTGTCACTTTAAAGATAATCAAGGGATAGAAATATTTGACGAGGCGTAACATTTTATTTCAACTGCATGTTAATAACCACGCATTTACAAGAATCATAAGAGGCAACATTTATCTCACTACACATCGGCTCCAACGTAATCATAAATCCAAAGGAGAAAAATGCACGCGAACTCTTAAACACTACTAAAGATAACACTTTTCCTGTTTAAAAAAAAGAAAAACTCTCAAATAACGCAAATAAAACGCATTTACTCACAAACAGAAGCGTGTAGAAAAGTACACAACGTACGGCAAAAAGCTTTCACACACGCCCGTCGTTACTGGCGAGTGCCTACATTTGACACTCCAATGCTACATTTTTCCTCATGACCACTTTAACTCCACGGGGAATGCCAGCAGCAAGGCCCACCCTACCTATATACACGTCCTTAGACTCGACCATTACAATTTGGTTTTTGCAAATTCAATTTGCCTAAAATTCCAGCTCTTTGAGAATAAAAAAAAATTGGTTTGACACGTGACCAACACCCTTCCCATGAAACAAATAATAGTTTTGGCCCTGTTGCGGATGAGGCCTTGAGCAGACTTCAGTTGATTCTGCAACCCCATCCATCAAGTGGCCATTCTCTTACACAAGGTGGTGCATTGGTGTCCCGGAAGAGGTTCAAGAGGGCAAATTTCGTTTCTTTTCTCGCAGGTGAATTGCCAAATTTTAAGTGCAGAATATTTTTGTTATAATTATGGATATTTTCGTGCAGTCATTTGTGACCATGTTTGGGGGGACCCATCAACTCTTCCTATGCTTGAGGACTAATTAAAATGACAGGCAACTTAAAGATTGGACTCACACCCAGGACTTCAGCAGTGCCGTTGGCTCAGATGCCTCCGACGCCCCGAAACCACCTTGGCCACCACTTGGATTCGCGCACCGACTCTTCCCGTGAACAACCAGGATAGGGACACACGCGTCAGTCCTGCGTGCGTGCATTACCGACACAACGTGGGTGGGATGGAGTTGGTCCATTGGTGCACGTGGCCTACACTAAACTCGCACCGCAGACGCAAGTCGCAAAAAAAAAAGCAAGAAACATTTACGACAAATAAAATTACAAATCGAAAGGGAATAATATAACGCGATGATAACGGATGCGAGCGTGTACTGCTGTTGTTGCGCTAACCTACAAGTCTGTGTTCGGGCGATGCAGGTCTCACGATAAACGCTCGTGTCGGTGGATCACATTCACGTTTGGGAAATGTCACGCCCGTACAAACCCCGGCGGCTGCTGCGTGGCAGACGACGTGAAAACAACGCGGCCGCGTGAACTTCACGTCCAAACGTGTGCTGCGACACATTCAAACGCACGTAAACTTTGGACAAGCCAAGCAACTTTGCGGCAAGAGAATCGCGCAGCAATGCAACTGAAGCGGGGGGAAAGTGGGTAAACCCCCCAACAAAGCTCGTGACAAATATTCAAAACTCGCCTAACTTCGACGAATGCGACCTACGTAACGTAGTTGCCGTGAAGGCATCCCTTGAAGCGCATTACGTTGTGAAAAAATGCGATCGCATCGTCGTCGTTATTTACCGACACGCCAACAACGGCTGAACTGGAACACAACCCTTTCAGTTTGTTGTCAAGCCGAATGATTTTCCCCGCAGCACAATCCGCGTGCGAGAGTGAGCGGGGATGTGAAAAAAGAAGCTCCTCTTTCGATGGAAACGACCACCTAATTGGCAGGATCGCCATCACTCGCTTAGCCTCTCTATACAAATTCACGTTCTATACTTGTTTTCGACATCACGCAGCAGAAGCACATTCAAGAGCGTAACAGATTAACATTCGCACATGAACATCGTACAGGTCGTTGTGAAAAAAAGTAAAAAACTTTAAAATCATCTTAGCGGAAACTCAAGAGAGCGGGCGAAGAGATGAGAAATCAGAAATCTTAAGCCTCGTTTCCGTACGGGCAAACGGCAGTGTGAACATTTTTTTTTTACAAAACAACTCCGCAGACTCCTTAATTCGCATCCTAAGTTTAGCGGAAGCGCTTCCCCGAACACATGTAAATGATTCGCGTGCATTTCTTTTGCCCTCCGCACGCCGCGAGCGTCTTCGGGAACCCCCAAGCGAGTGGGCCAAAATATTGGGACACCGCGTGGAACGGCACGCCGCACGACCGGAACGCACGTTGTCGGAGCGCCGGCTCTGACAGAATCGGCCTCCGACGCGTGACACGAGCGGGATGAGCGGAGAAGGTGCTGGCCAGCTGGCTTGCCGGCTTGCTGGTCCGCTTGCCGGTAAGCTCGCCGGCCGCCAAGACCGCCGACCGGCCGGCAAGCTTGACGGCCGGTAGGCTCCCCGGCCGGCAAACTAGCCGGCTGGCGTAAGTGAGCGCGGTTACGGTGCGCGCGCCGGGGGCTTAATGGAGTCTTCATTTGCAGTGGTACGCCATGTGGTTGCTCTCGCTCCTCCGTCGCTTGCGAGACTGCATGCTCTGGAAAAACTCTGTGATGTCCTCTTTCTTCACCACCTGAGGGTGCAATGATTGCAGATCAATTCATCTCCGATTAAGCACAGTTGGCTACGAATGGTGCGAAAGAAGTTCAACATACATTGTAAAACGAAAGACTATTTTGTCCTCCTGTTGACGATCGCTTGTGTTGTGATCGAAACGTCGTTGATTGTGCACCACTGCCAACACAGTAGCAGCAGTAGCAGCATCGCCACCAGATCCTTTGTCTAGTAACGAAGTCAGCTTGTTATTTGTGTCTGTCGGTAAAGTCACGTAGATAGGTTCAAAGAAAAATAAAATAAAAACTACACAAGCGTTCGTTGCGATCGAAACGTCGTAGTTTTTAAAAAATAATGTTTTGTTATTTTATTTGAACCTATCTACGTGACTTTACAGAAAGACCCAAAGAATATGAATTCCTGCAGTCACTAAAACTTTTAAGTCAAGAAAGACACACTTCGGCACGCTCCCAGTGTAGCTGTAACAGGAATGAGGTCGCTCTATCACGAAAAAACCCACCCAAATTACAGCACTTAATTCGGGGGCTATAATCGCTACAATCCTGTCCTGGCGCGGAATGGCTTCTTGGAAACTCGTGATTACTCGTGGCTTCCAACATCGCCAATAATAAACACGGCGGTTCCCGGTCACCGCTTGAGGAAGGTTGTCAAATCCGTCGGGACGAGGCCCCCTTCTTCTGTGGCGGTCGGTGAAGATTATCCGCGCCGCGTGTGAACACCCGAGCAGACAGACAGAGGGTGAGTGACGTTCGCATTTTTCCCATGATCTCTCACTCCACCCCCCCCCCCCCATATGGATAGAGATTCGCCACCGTATTCTGCCGAGTAAGAGACGCTCCGGAAGATAAGACCCCCCACTCCCCACACCACCCCAAATCTGTGCCGGATTAAGCTAATGCGGGGCCTGTAGCATATGTTATAAAGGGGCCCTAAATAAAATAAAAACACGTGAATATTAAAACACAGATTTTTTTTTTTACTTGCACTGTAAAGTAATTGTATTTTTACATTTTGCCATTTCGCCAGATAATACGACAAATCGCTAACCTTAAACACCCAGTCGTTCATAAAAGTTGAAGGCGGTATAGTACTATAGTAATAGAGCAAGTGCAGAATCACTGAACCGGAATTGATAGTGACGATGAGCCACGCCGCGTGTGAACACCCGAGCAGACAGACAGAGAGAGTGTCGTTCGCGTTGAGCAAACCGCCGCTGCGATGTGTCCCAAGAAACATAACGCAACACGACCCCTATGACATGGTGGTGCTGTTGGGGGTGGAGTGGCGGCGCAGTGGTCGGCGCACCGTGCTATGCTCTCGGCATTCCGAGGTTGGATTCCCTGTCGGTACCGCTCTGTAGGAATACGTTTGATGCAGCTGTTTTGGCCGAAAGGTAAAAAAAATATATATAAACTACCTCACTGAGATGGGTTACACATTTTAACATTAAGAATGTAATCATTTTAAGCGGGTTGTGCATGAATCGTTCAGCTAAACAGGCCGTGTCAAGCCAGTTTCTTTACTGCGCGTGTGTGCGTGTGGATGACGGGAGCAGCGACACAGCGGTTTGCGCCCTGCGGCATGAACTCGGCAACCTAGGTTCGATTCCTGGACGCGAACGTATGCATACTCTTAGGTTTTTTCGGTAAAGTCACGTAGGTAAAAAAATTAAATAAAAAATGACTAAAAGTAATATAAAGTGATACAGCAAATCTAGCTGTGACGGTCCCACCTGATGACGGAGACTTGTGTTGCCTCCGAAACGTCGTGATTTATTATTTTATTTCTATTATCATTTCTATCATTACTTTTAGTAATTTTTAATTTAATTTTTTTACCTACGAGATTTTACCGAAAAAAACCTAAGAGTATGAATCCTTGCAGTCACGAAAGCTTCAAATCTAGAACGTATGCATGTTGAACTTCTTTCGCACCGTACGTAGTCAAACGTGCTAATCGGCGTGATACCTTAACCTTTCCAAAGCCCCTTCCCGAAGCTACCTCATCCTTGAACGAGTAGCTGCACGTGGTACGCGAACAGCAGCACTGAGGACAGGGAGACTGCCAGGCACCACGCTGGCCACAACACCCTCTACCTTGTGTAGCAGCACACCGAGCTGAACATATTCCTGCTAACGGCGCTTGAATATGTTTGTTTATAAATTTGTTCCCGTAACATTATTCCGCGCAGCGGTGCAAATGAGCGTGCATGCAGGCAGGCGAGAAGACGCGCTGGTGGAGCTTTACCTTCCCCTCGTCGGCGAAGTGCTTCAGGTAGTCCATGAGCTCCGTCTTCAGGTCGTTGTACTCTGGAGGTGATAACGCGTCGCAGCCGCGTCAGTCACGGCGTCGCAGCCGCGGACACATCCCCGACGTTTTTCACGACAATCACCACCGCCCTCGTCGTCGTCGTCATCATCATCACAATCATCAATCGGCTGCTGGACGAAGGCGTCGCCATTTCTCACTGTCCTACGACGGAACAACTGTGACGTTCTAACCTGACACGACTGGACCATCTGTGAAAAAGAGCTTTATAGCTCATCAGATTTCACCCTCCGCCTGCTCGAGAGCCGATTTCATCCCTCCATCTCCGCAGCGGTCGTAACCTGTCGGATGCCATCGTCCTTTCTAGCGACGCACCTTGCAGAAACCCACTTTGTAGTGTTAACAGTAACAACGATGTCTTTAACCTGCATGTTCATAAATCTATGCTCCTATTTCTAGTCTTTCGTGTAATCCTGCCTTGTCTCTCAAAGTGACCAGGCACGGTTACTCGTCAGCTCTGGTTGCACTCCAGGGACGCAGAGTGTTAGGTTGTTAAGCCAATACAACATTACAGGACTACACTGGCAGTGTGGCCTATGTGCTGAATAAACGTAAGCCTATGAAGTATGCTAAACGGAACAAATTTGTATTTTTTATTTTACAAGGTAATGCCCACAGAGCTCTTTTTCAGAAGTGATCTGGCAATCACAAATGATAGCTCAACGAAGCGGTTTATCCTGGGGAAATGTATAGCAGCCAAATACTCTAAACGCATGACGTTGATTCTAAATGTGAAGGGAAAACCGGAGGACCCAGATAAAAATCCACGCGACCATAAGGAGAAACACGAATACTCCAAATATACAGCAGGCGTCAGGGTCGGGATCGAACCCACGACCTTGTGGATAACAGGCGAGGTCGTTAACATCTCGCCACCGTGACGCCCACACACGTTTCTGTTTTAAAACCGAGTTAATCACTTGGCCAATTGACGGGGTGCGGCTGCCCCCCAAGGTTACGTGAAATCCATATTGAGCCCTCAGTAAGGAAGAGGGTTCCCCACCCCCGCCCGCCGTGGTTTAACAAAAAACAAGATTAGAACGATCAGCGGGGGGAGCAAGGGTGAAGAGGAGAGGGGCAGGCGGCGGAGGAAAGAGAAGCAAAAGGTGGATGAGGAGCAAGAGGTGGAGGAGGACCAGAAGGAGCAGAAGAGAGAGAGTGGACGGATGAGGAAGAGGAGCAGCAAAATGACGGAGGAGGTACAGGAGCAGGAGACGAGGCAAAGGAGGTGTTGGGAGAAGGAGCAAGAGCGACTGGGAGCAAGAAGCAGTAGCAGGAGGAGAACGTCAGGAGGAGGAGCGAAAGGAGGATTGGGATGAATCGAAGGAGGTACCGCTGATTAGCTCCACTTGCTGCACGCGGTTCATGGTGCCCAGCGCCGCCATGAGGGGGTCCCCGCCCCCCGCGCTGGACCCGGCCGCCCTGCCCCCCCCTCCTCCACCGCCGACGCTGTCCGCCCCGAGCTTCCCGCGCGCCTCGTACGCCTGCACCGTGTCCGCCTCGTCCAGGAGAAAGCGCACGCCCAGCTCGTCGTACATCGCCTGTCGACGACGACGCGCAGTTTAACACGAAAATCAAGTTCGTATTTCGCGAGTGTGCTTTGTCTTAATTTAATCTATACATCTTATAGATATAAAACCATCGTGCTGGGAGAATGCGACGCCTCGCGTGAACGTGGTGAGCCAATGCACGAGCGTCATTCGCACCTCCGTTTAGCGCGGTTGGCGTTCAACACACACGCATACGTGGCCGAGGCCACGTCTTTAACTTTCTTTGTCAATCAAACTGCTCCCCACGACGTGAGGGTCATCGGCGGTAGGTGCAGCAGACTTCACAAGGCTGGTTCTGCGCGGGTTGGTCGCCACGTCAGCCCCAAAAGTACTCCAGCAACCCGCTTGTGCATGGAGTGGCGGGATAACCCATTAAGGTGACAGCCCCACCCACTCTATCCCGGCCTCCGTCATCAACCCACCGGCTAAGAAAATACACGATGAATCACACATCCAGCAACGCTTGCCACGGAAGAATTCTAAAATACCTTTTTTTTAATATGGGTTGAGGCAGTAAGTGAACGGAACGGCTGCAATGCAGCGTCCATGACAAATGAATCCGTCAAGTGTCTAATTACAGCACCGCATCCAATGGCAAGAGAAAATAATAAAATCTCTCCTGCACATGAGCGATGGTGAGGGTTGGTGCTTGCGCTACGTAAGGCAATATATTAGAGCAAAGCAAAGCAGCTTACAAGGTCCCACCATTCCATCAGGGAACGGTGCAGTAATGTTCTCATACTGTACAAATTCCCCTAGAGCCGTACCGGTCAGTTTAACCTGATCCTCAACTGCATTTTATATATAAATAAGCACGCAGATATAAATCCTTGTTTGGAATCAAGGGCACAGTGTGTGCCTATTAAGGATCATATCCAAGTGGTGTTTATTTGTGGAGATATTATAGACGAAGCTGCGCTTATTTTGGCTGCTATGTCCAGCAGCAGAAACAAATACATTTTTTATTCATTTCTTCTGAATGCTGTGACATATTTTGAGTGAAACGTTTGGACGGCCCAGGTTTGTACATGACACGACATGAACTAATGGAAACTAAATACAGCCCCTTTGTCAATCCACTGCTGGATGAAGGCCTCCCCACGATGGTGAAGTAAAAAGAGTGATAGAATTTGTTTAGATATCGCCTTCGATGTTAGCCATCACTGGAAATCGAACTTGGGTCATCAGGCGTGGCTCTGTCTATCTTTCAGTCATGGCTCACGATGCTGCCTCGGGTGCTCCCACCTGCCCTGGTTTTCCCAGCATTGTCCTCTTTTTGAGACGGCTCTCCTGGGAAATGTGTCAGTCTAGCGGTCATTTATAAACTCCTGTTTGCCGTCAACTCTGTAATGATAATACACCGCCTCAAGACGATGCGTTAACACGAGCTTCTGCCTTCTTCCGCTACTGCGAGATATCCCTCTTGCCATCAAGCGTCCGCGTTTGCTTGTTTATCTCGAGAGGTGGCATCTCCGGCGCTGCCAGGCCGCGTTGGCACTCGCCTGGCACGACGCGCAAGAGCACAGCTTGCAGCGCCACTGCTGCGGCCAGAACGTGGCAGCGGCGTCGCCGGGTGGCTGGCTAGCGGGGACCGCCCCGGCGCGCAGCTCCGACAGCAGGCACGGGGGACGTCGCTCCGCCGCGCTGGCCCCGTTCTCCCCGGGCGTCGGGGCGACGTCGCGAGGTTCCTCCTTTGGCACCGCCGGCGCATCGCTCTCCTCGTTCTTGTCTTCGTCGCCGGGTGACGGCTGAGCAAAGCGATAGAACGAGCGCCCTCGTAAAGCACAAGAGATGTCGCGAGGGGTGTCTGCGCGCGAACACCCGCGCGAGCACGGCACTCGTTGTCAATCCGCTGCCGGACGAGGGTCTCCGCTCGCCGTGAGGGTCATGGGTCGGGGGGGGTTACGAGACGTTACGTTAGTCTGTGGGCCTCTACGCAATTGTATGGGTTTCATGGCGAGTCAGGCCGGGTCCATCTTATTCACGACACATGAGAATCCAGTTTATCAATCACAGGGGGCCGAAACCCGGATTCGAACCCAGGTTTCTCAGTTGCTCCGACGGCCGAGCCGCCCGGCCACCTCGGTCCGCCCCATCATTACCTTGACGCCGTCTCCGCGGGCGACCCCGCTCGGGGAGGTCCCCTCGGCGCTGGACCTGCACGGGGAATCGTCGACGACCAGCGAGCCTTCGTGCTCCTCGTTGACGAGCTTCACCACTGCAGGTCGAGTGGGGCCAAGAGGACGAGAGATCGAGAAGTGAAGGCTACACGCCGCACTCAATGCGAACACGTCCAATTAGAGTTGATCATCGATTATCCGGCACACGATCATTCGGCTTCCAACACTATCCGGCGATCCCGGGGCCTAGCCGGCAAAACCGCTCCAAAGGCTGTAGCCAGTCCGGCAATAAACATCACGTGACAAAAAAAAGTAGCAATGCTTGATGTCAATGTTAAATGATATACAGTGCATTATACACTACATACAACTTAAACAATGAAAATACTGCAAGTATATACATCGCCCCATGCAGTCTTCGAGATTTGAGTGGTATGGTACAGTAAATATGGTAACTTTTCACAAGATATTTATTTTTGTCTATTTGTATTTTCACTCATGCCAATTTCACATCGTAAACAAATTGCAAACACCTAAAAACATGTCATACAAGTATGTGCACAAGTAAGCTATTTTAATTTATATAATTATCCAGCGTTTTTGAAAATCCGGCGCCCCATCCCGCCACCGAAGCCGCCGGATAAATCGATGATCGACTGTAAACTGAAAATGTATTAAACGCCACTAAAAATGTACAGGCAGAGTTACGCGGAAGTAGGTCTCCCCAAGACGTCGCCATCCTCTCTTTCTCCAAGGGTCTCGGAATGCAACGATCCATCTAGTTTCCGCGCGCGAGTCAATCTCGTCACTCCATTTCCGCGCCCCCCTTGCGAGCCCCGGTGCCGCTGCACCGCCCGCACGGTCGGCCCTCGCGAGCGACGGTGTCACCTGCGGACGGGACGGCGTAGGCCCACAGGAAGGAGCAGCGCGCCATGCAGCCCCCGCACACCATCTCGTGGTACTCCACACTCTCCGGCGCCTCCACGCCCAGATGCTGGGCGAACACGAAGAGAAGTGCGTCCCGACCAGCAGTTTAAGTTTCGTTTCACGAAAAGAACGACGAACGTGTTAAGTCAATGGAGCGTTTTAGAATACGTTAGCCGTTCGTAAATTGAAAACTCATTTAAAAAGTGATGAAAAAAAATCGAATTTATTTCCGCCCCCACCTCCCCCGCATCTCCGATTCGCAGTTGGCTACGTACGGTTCAACAAAGACGGCTTTGAATGGACGAAAATCATCAAGCGCGACGATGACTATGCATGTTTTGCCAACGATCTAAGCGTGATTGAACATGTCAGGGCAAATAACAAGTCTCAAGAAAGAGGCAGAGTAAGATAATTTACTCACATTATTGGAGACTTAGGTACAGTGAGGAAGATCAAATAAGATATTTGGCTTGATAAGTATCCACAAAGTCGACTCGACGAGCGAAATCAGCAAAGATTACAAATAGAATTCCACAGGCTGTCGTTGACTTGATCGAGACGAGAAAAACCTAAATATTTTACTAAATGAACACTGGTCCCAACACATGTGTGTAGTTCTGTGGTTCATGGAGATGTGGTACAATGTGCCATGGAGAACAAGGGCTGCATCCTGTACTTACCCGCCCGTGTAACCAGTCCTCGCATATGATGCACTGGATCATTTCATCAGGAGTCTACGTAGACAAAAGGTTCCAACAAAATTTTCACCACAGTTATATTTATGCCTTCGACTAAAAAATTAAATGTTACCGGAGCAGGAAATACAAAGAACATACGATTAACCAAATGAGTGAATTACATTTTTGTTTTTTTTATCTTTATAACAACAGTTTGCATTGTCTCCGGGAGTGTGGGGTGTGACACGGTTGGATGGTATGTTAGCCGACGGTCTGGTCTGTATGAACGTTGGCTGTTTGATTGCTTGATGTGTGTGTGTATATGTTGGTTGATCACAACAACGAGCGGAGTGCCGGGTGGCTAAAGCACAGCAAGTTGGTACAGTAGGGGACACAGGTGGTGCATCAGCCAGTCATCTCGGTCATCTTAGTCAGTCGACCCGTGGCACCTGGGTCTGCCCCGTGACCTCCTGCCAGCGGGCGTTCGACACTTCACGTGGCCTCAAGGTGCACATGGCCTGGCACAAGCGTCGTGGTGACGTCACCGCCACTTAGTGGCGAATGGCGGTTGTTGTTGTTGTTGATCATTGGAGATGCAGCTACGGTCAGGTTAGGCTGATCCGAGGGAGAATGCCGACCGAGTGAAGGACATCATTTAGGTCCCGTGAAGAAGATTTGCTACCCTTGTAATCACTCTCACCTTGTCGTCCGGATCAGGGTAGGGCTTCTTGCAGGTGCAGTACAACCCAAAGAAGTTGTGGTTGTATTTGTTACCGGGATTCGATGCCTCTTTGTCCTGTATGCCATTCACAGTTAAAAGCCAAAGAGATCACAAAAATGTTACCGAAAGCAAAACTTATAACTTGATGATATATATACCCAAATAAATTCACATGTAATCCATCGCCTGATGAGGGCCTCCCCAGGCATTGCGGGTTATTTGACTATAATTCACCACACTGCTCAGTGTGGGTTGGTGAAGGTAGGGAGCATAGACGTTATATCATAGTACAGTACCACTATGGATTCTGCTGCAGTGCCTTCTGCTGACAACGTAGACCTGCAACAGCCGACAACGCCTGTTTCATACACGATGGTCACCCATCCACCTCCGATGAGCAAGGTTGGCTACGTAGGGTGCGAAAAAGGTTCAACATACACACATGCAATGTCCATGCTTAATGCCGCTTGGTTTCTGACATCCGAAGAGATCAGCCACATTTTGTGCGATTTGGTAACAGGAATAGGAATAAAATAACCCATTATTACACCATCCAAATTTAGGTTTTTGGTTGCGCTAAAATTTGACCGGCATCCACCCACCGGCACCGAAGCAAAAAACACAAGTGCCCCGCAGCACGCTGCAACTTACGGGCAAAAGTTTGCAGGCATTGCCAGGGAATCGAGCGTTGCCGCAGTCACAGCGGAAATTTCTGAAAAACAAAAAGGCACACGTGGCACGGCTCGCCTTACGCACGGCGCGCACACACAGTACAGTAGTGGTGGGGTTAGAAATGTGTTTTTGTTCAACGATGACTGGGCAGGCAAATTGTTAGCCGATGTGCAGTGCACTGCAAAAAAAAAGTAGTTTTCCCATCCCTCCCCCCGGTACAAAAATCAAGGGACTTTGTTAGCAGCGGTGCACAAGTACAAACCAACAAGAATGTCACCACTTTTGTCAACACCGTAGCCTCATTGCAGAAATGCAGAATACAGAGGTGAGCTTCTCACAAAACTTTTTGCGGGTGGGAGCAGTGGTGCAGTGGTGTAGTGGTTTCTGTCTTCCGCAACGAACCTGGCCTTCATCCAGTAGCGAATTGATCACAGGTGATGATACATGCAGAATTAATCATTATAAAGAGTTTCCATGGATTTGGTGGCTGTCTACAGTAAACATAACCATGGGAAGGAATTCCATGCGATGGAGGCAGAAGCAGAGACGGTGCGAGCCGCCCATGAAGTGTAGGCTAACTATGACAATCCCACTCACTGATTTTACAAATCCATTAAAGCTTTTATCAGCATGACCCATGGCCTATCCACTACTGGATGAAGGCCTCCCGATTCCGTCACCATCCCTCACAGTTCTGCGATGGCACAATCCATCTCACTCCTGCACTTCAACCAAATCGGATCTGAATTTGTATTTATACTGGAGGAATCTGACGAGCTAAAAAGCTCTTTTTCACAGATGCCCAGTAAAACTAACCTCCTTGCTCAATCTCTACAGCGTACGTGTGTATGTTGAACTTCTTTCACACTGTACGTAGCCAACCGTGCTAAACGGAGGCGCGGTGGCTGCCTGCAATAAAGAAAACCGTGGGTCGTCCTATCAGACACAAAAACTCTTTTACTGCGAATTACCATCGGTCACGTCTACCGACCACCATCCCTTCTAGCGATCAGACCCGTTCGAGCCCAGTTAACTTTTGTAAAACAATCAATCCCTGTGCTGCTCCTTGGTCTCTGTGTAATTGCAACCGTGCGTATCTCCCACGTTTCTTTGCACACTTTTCAGTGTTTGTCCCATTTTTCTATTTGTCAGTATATCGACGTTTTCTAATCCACTGCAGTGCTGCTATCCATGCGTCTCCGATCAACAATAGATCACTCTCCGCCGCCGCAGGGTAGGAGTGGGTGAGATGTGATTGCACCGGTGGTGCAGTTTGGTGTGGTGAGCCGAGATGCGGTGTGGTGAGATGCGGAGTTGGGGGCGGTGAGGGGCGGTGCGGTGAAATGCGGTGTGGTGAGATGCGGAGCTGAGGGGCGGTGCGGTGAGATGCGGTGTGATGAGATGCGGCGTTGAGGGCGGTGAGGGGCGGTGTGGTGAGGTGAGATGCGGTGTGGTGAGGTGAGATGCGGCACTGAGGGGCCGGTGAGGGGCGGTGTGGGCGAGGCGAGGTTGGAGGCGCAGGAGGGTGGGGTGTGGCCCACCTCTTGGTGTAGAGCTCGTACAGGTCGTGACCCTCGTGACATGTGTAGCTGCACGCCAGGCAGATCGCGGCCGGCTCCCCGCCACGTGGCGTGCAGGAGCTGCACGCGTACAGCGCCTGGCGGCTCACGTAGCCCTGGTGAGGAGAAAGGTCAGGGGGCAGGGCGGCCCGTACGGCGATTCGTTCATTCACTCAATCATTCACTCATTCATTCCAATCATCGCTCATTCGACTGTAAGCCACGTGCGAATTTGGCAAAGCGGGCGGGAATCTCCAAATGTGCATAATACACCTACCCCAATCTGATGTTGTGGCCGAGTAACCCTGTGATCGTCACGTATAGGTCATAAAATAATACTGGTAGGAACCACCTGGTTCCACCAGTCCCACAGGGAATTATTGTGTGTGTCCGTCGTTCATCCAAAAATGAGGGGTGGGGCTGGGTGGAGAGGGGAGGGTGGGGAGGGGCTGGGTGGGGGGTGGGGCTGGGTGGGGAGGGGCTGGTCACCCCGTGGTGCCCTTATAAAACTCAACGTTTAACTTACTCACGCCGGCTTGTGCCCGCCCTCACAGTCGGGCATATTTGCGGAATACACTACGCCGCCGTTGACCCTGGCCATTGACCGAGCAACCCAACGTGCCTATCAGCTCCCTCCGCAGGAATGTGTTACCAATTTATTACAATTAGTATCATCACCTTCTCTTGAGAGTGCCCAGCCAGTGTTCCGACTGCTCCCACCACGTCCCAATGACAAAACTTCCTGCTACAAAGTGATAACCATTTTACCGACCTCGGTGTGGTGGTGGTGATGATGATGACTGCGACTGATGACACTGACCGTCGAGGAGACGTTCACAATGAGAAATATTCATGGCGATTAATGACCGCTTCTGATGATGATGACTGCTACCGACTTTGATGTTGTCGATAATTACGAGCGGTGGTAGCGCTGATCCTGCTGCTGATGATGATCCTGCTACTGATGATGATCTTGCTGCTGCTGATGATCCTGCTACTGATGATGATGATCCTGCTACTGATGATGATGATCCTGCTACTGATGATGATCCTCCTGCTGCTGATGATGATCCTGCTACTGATGATGATCCTGCTGCTACTGATGATCCTGCTGCTGATGATGACCATCATGCTGCTGATGATCCTGCTACTGATGATCATGCTACTGATGATCCTGCTGATGATGATGATCCTGCTGATGATCCTCCTGCTGCTGATGATGATCCTCCTGCTGCTCATGATCCTGCTACTGATGATGATCCTGCTGATGATCCTCCTGCTGCTGATGATGATCATCCTGCTGCTGCTGATGATGATCCTACTGCTGCTGCTGCTGATATCAAATTCTACTGCAATGTGTAGCTGATGATGACGAGCTACAGTTGGCCTAATAACATCTGATCATCATCATCATCATCAGTAGCAGCACGATCATCATCATGATCCCGTCCTTTAACCGCTGCATATGACGATCCTACTCATGATCCTCATGCTACTGCTGATAACGATCATGATGATCGTGCTGATGACGATCGTGATGATCGTGCTGATGATGATTATCGTGATGATGATGATGATGCTGCTGATCGTGCTGATGATGATTATCGTGATGATGATGATTATCGTGATGATGATGATGCTGATCGTGCTGCTGATCGTGCTGATGATGATTATCGTGATGATGATGATTATCGTGATGATGATGCTGCTGATCGTGCTGATGATGACCGTGATGATCGTGCTGATGATGATTATCGTGATGATGATGATCGTGATGATCGTGCTGATGATGATGATGATGGAGTCATATTCTTAGGTTTTGTCGTTAAAGTCACGTAGGTAAAAAATTAAAATAAAATAAAAATCACGACGTTTCGGAGGCAACACAAGCTTCCGTCTTCAGGTGGAACCGTCACAGCCACGACAGCTGAAACGGTTCCACCTGAAGACGGAAGCTTGTGTTGCCTCCGAAACGTCGTGATTTTTATTTTTTACCTACGTGACTTTACCCAAAAACACCTAAGAATATGAATCCTTGCAGTCACGAAAGCTTCAAATCTAGAATGATGGGAGTCACCTTTGCATACGAGCATAGGTCCGCGTCGCTGGCGCCCAGCACCGCATCGGCCTCGCTCTCCAGATCCTCGTTCTGCTGCATCACCTCCATCATGGACAGCACCGCGTCCTCGTCCTCCTCCTCCTCGTCGTCATCTTCCTCCTCCTCCTCCTCCAGCGCCGCCGCCGCCGCCCGCTTCACATCGTCGCCAGCTTCGTCGAGGCCTCGCTTCGTGCCGCCGCGATTTGCCGCCATTTCTTGTTTTTGTTCAACAACGTCCGGGTCAAAGGGGAAGGAGTGGGGGTGGTGGTAGGGGTGGTGGGGGTGGTGGTGGTGGGGGTTGGGGTGGTTGTGGTGGTTGTTGTGGTGGGTGTGGTGGGGGGTGGTGGGGGTGGTGGTGGTGGGGGTGGTGGTGGTTGTGGTGTTGGTGGTGGTGGGGGTTGTGGGGGTGGTGGGAGTGGAGGTGGTGGGGTGGTGGGAGTGGAGGTGGTGGGGTGGTGGGAGTGGAGGTGGTGGGGTGGTGGTGGGGGTGGTGGTGGGGGTGGGGGTGGTGGGGGTGGTGGTTGTGGTGGGGGTGGGGTGGTGGGGGTGGTGGTGGTGGGAGTGGAGGTGGTGGTGGGGGTGGTGGTTGTGGTGGGGGTGGTGGTGGTGGGGGTGGAGGTGGTGGTGGTGGTTGTGGTGGGGGTGGTAGGGGTGGTGGTGGTGGGGGGGGGTGGTGGTGGGGGTGTTGGTGGTGGTGGGGGTAGTGGTTGGTGGGGGTGGGGGTGGTGGGGGTGGTGGTGGGGGTGGTGGTGGGGGTGGTGGGGGTGGTGGTGGTGGGGGTGGTGGGGGTGTTGGTGGTGGTGGTGGTTGGTGGGGGTGGTGGGGGTGGTGGTGGGGGTGGGGGTGGTGGTGGTGGTGGGGGTGGTTGTGGTGGGGGTGGTGGTGGTGGTCGTTTCCTTTCCCAACCGCCCCCACGCCTGTTACCCCCCATCATCAACAACATCAACAACATCACCATCAACAACAACAACAACAAAGATCTAGATTTGAAGCTTTCGTGACAGCAACGATTCATACTCTCAGGTTTTTTCGGTAAAGTCACGTAGGTAAAAAATAAAAAGAATATTTCTATTATTATTTCTACAATTTTTATTATTTATAAAAAAAATATATATATAATTTTTATTATTTATTTTTATTTCTACCTACGTGACTTTACCGAAAAAACCTAACAGTATGGGGGAGTGATATCAGTGAAATTACAACAGCAGCAGCAAGAGAGAGCGAGATGTCTTTAAGCCCCGCCCACCCTGCCCGCCCCGCCCACCCAGCCCGCCCCGCCCACCTAGCCCAGCCCCGCCCACCCAGCCCGCCCAGCCCCACCCAGCCAGCCCGCCACACCCAGCCCGCCCCGCCCACCCAGCTCACCCAGCCCGCCCAGCCCCTCCCACCCAGCCCGCCACGCCCACCCACCCAGCCCCTCCACCCCGTCCCCGACGATGTCGTCTTCGCTGCGGGCCTCGCTGCTGCACCGCGACGGGCAGCGGCGGCGATTCGCGGTGTCCGTGGGGGGCGGCGGCGGCGGCGTGCGGGACTTGACTCGGGCCCTCGAGGTGCTCCGGGAGGAGGTCTCCGAGGCTCTGACCGAGCTGGTGGATCAGGAGAAGACTGCGAAGGCTACTGGTGGTGAAGAAGGCTCGGCTGGTAGGGAGAAACAAAGAACACGTGGCTAGTTGGGCGGTGGTGGTGGCGGTGGCAGGTTGCCGTGGGGCCCCCTTCGTCTTGATTCAGTGGCCGTCGCGAACACGTGGATTTGGCTAAGAGGGCGGAAAATGAATCCCTTGGCTTAGGCCAAACGATAGGATGTGGAGTGGAAACAATGCTACGATGATGCTGTGTGTTGTGTGTGTGTTCTGTGTGTTGTGTGCGTGTGTATGTTCTGTGTGGTGTTGTGGAACTATTGTCAAGCGCACGCCGATCGGTTCAGGCCGTGTACACGCACAGCGTGTGTGTGTGTGCGCATAGATGTTGCTGTATCTACGGCTCAAACGAGTTGCTGGTGCCGTGGTGTGCAATTAACATCGCCACCGGGGAGACAAAGGCGGCCGGGCGTGGTAGCTGGCCACCCACCCCCCTCGTGTGCCACAGTTCCGGCCTTCGTAGGTGCTGCTTCTGGCTAACAGCACTTGTCCCAGACAGTCTGCAAGGCTATACGCGGATCTTTGTACACCCACAGTGTGCACCTAGCCTGGCACAAACGCCGTGGTGACGTCACAGTGGCGAACGGCGGTTGGACATCGCTTCGTGTTGGTGTGGGGAGCGGTGGCGTAGTGGTTAGCGCACTGAACTACTGCACTTGCTATCGTCCACTGTATTACCTCCCGATTTTGTAAATATTCCATTTGGTTCTCAGTTGCAGCCCCCTTTTTAATCCACTGCTGGATAAAGGCCTCTCTGCGCGTTGTCGATCGTGGAGATTATTTCACCATGCTCCACGTTCATCACTCAATCGGATGTCACTCGCCACTGATGGTAGCCGTGGTCATGAATCGAACACGTGGTGCCGGGCTCGTAGTGCAAGTGCGTTAAACCACTCCACCACCGCTCCCATACAATTCGGTTTATTCTTGCCTCGCCTGAAATTGACGAAAAAATAACGTCCACTCTATGCGGAAAGGTTAGGGTTAGTTTAGGGTTAGGTTGGGGTTAATTTAGGGTTTAGTTAGGGTTTGGTTAGGGTTAGGTAAGGGTGATGTTAGGGTTATGTTAAGAGTTAGGATATGGTTAGGTTAGGGTTATATTATGGTTCGGTTATAGTTAGGTTAAGGTTAGGTTAGGGTTGGTTTAGTATATCGGATGATGATGATGCTGATAAGTGCTGTATGAATGTTGAACGAGCTGCTGTCACTGTTTTCTAGGAGAAGAGGCGGACGAGAGTGATGATGACGACGATGATGACGACGACGGCGGTGGTGGTGACAAAGCTCCTGGACAGGGTCAGGCTGGACCGCGTCAGCCTGAGTCTGAGTTCGAGTCCGGGTCGCGTCAAGCGGCGTGCGAGGGAGCTGTGAAGCGAGGGGTGGGACAGCAAGAAACTTCGACGAAGTGTCCCGCGAAAAAGAAGAAGCATTAGGACTTGTCGTTTTTTTCTTCCCGATCATCGGCTCTTCTGGCTCGCCAATGAGGGCTGTGTGTACATGAATGACTCTTTATTTCTCAATTCAACGGCTGGGTGAGGGCCTCGCACCACACTGTGTTCGTCGTGGGGGTTATGTAAGCGCACCTCACTACGCTGGTCTTTATGGGTTGGTGAAGATATGAGGGGGGGGGGGGGGTTGTATCCAGGGCCGGTCCAGATATCGCTCACCACTGATGTGAAATCGTGTCAGCCAGGTTCAGAGCACAGAGCGCTTAAAACTGCTGGCACCACCGCTCCCCGAAAGGGTTATGGAGAAGCAGTGGTTGCAACTCGTCGTTGATTGTGCCGCGTTTGCCGTGATGTACGTGCACAAAGAACGGAAAAATCGGCACATCTGTCGATGATATTGCCCTAAAGAAGGAAATTATATAATAGGTGACGTTTTCAGGCGGTGTAATTTTTTTTTATATATCGCAGAGGAGCCATCGAGATTGAATAGCTAATAACAGTTGCTCTGGCCACTATCTCGCTTGCCCCTAAACATCACCTAATCTAATTTCTGCTTTATGCGCGCGTCGGCGTTGAAAAGCGATTGAGCGAGTTAAGATTCGCCGTGTGAGCTGTGTCCGTTTTTATAAATAAAACTCCAGCCCTGGTGTGGTTCTCCAAATTATGACTAAGCGTGTTGCGACAACGCGGGGTGTTCGGCGAAGTGGGGAAGCCAGTGACCTACAAACTCCAACCAGTAATCCCTGCAGTCGGCACACTGCAGGGAAATTCAGTGCAGTGCATGCGTACTCCAGTCCTTGCCATCCACCACGGCAAGCCTCCGTTCGAATACTGATTTGCAAAATATGAAAGCAGATAACATATCGTATATATCTGTGTCTCTACATAAAAAAAATATTATTTAAACAACCATTTGCCCGCACGGCCCTCTGGGAGTTATTCATTTCAGCAGCAAAGTTTTTACTCCCAGAAAGCTGTGGGGCCCATGGATTGTGATGAGAATACTTTCATTTTTTGTGCGGTCAGATATACGAAGGAGATGGAGACTTGGGCCCCAGAGGAGTGCATTCGCCACGCGTTCAATAATCCATAAACCACGCACTCGCACGCATCGTTTGGCTCGTACGAAGGTACGCCGCCCACGAGGCTTTTCGTCAATTTACGCTTTTAATCAATCACGCGTGCTTCGTAACATTGCGTGCACACACACTCTACGTGAGACAGACGCGCGGACAAAAGTGGACGCCTGCTACGGTGGTTAACATACGCGGGGGGTGGGTGACGTTTTCGGCGGACAGGACGACGCGTGTGCGTTTAGGTTCGACGGCGTCACACATGGAGAGAGTACACGAGCATCACAATCGGCTTGCGTTAACCAGGGGTGGGGTTTTGGGAACCTTTCCCCAACTTGGGAGCCTAACTGAATGTTTTGGTCCCCTCTTGTGGAACCACGTGTTCACAACGCCCATCTTTTTCGGCGTTATCCAATAATAAGGTGAAAAATAATTGCCGCCGGGCCTTCGTTTCAATCCGGTTTGTCCGGGTCAGCGACTCCGAATATATTTCCGCACTCGGCAACACCACAACCAGTTTACCTCGTGCTCTGGCTGTGAGCCGCTGGTCACATTCCTCATACTGAAAGTTCAGCCGCGACCTTGAAAATGTTCGGTGAGAAATTAAGCCCTGAACAGGGCCCCACTTTACCGCAGTGACAGCAAGGGACTGAATGCGCATAACAAATAAATGCAATGTTGTTGGGGAGCTCAGGAATTATACACCTCGAGTATCCAATTAGTATGGCTACGATGCCTGCAGTGATGGATACATTATGGGCCTTTTTAAATTGGCAGGTCTCGTGCGGCCGTGGCCGTTGCTACCTGTCCTGGAGTTTTTGGAGTTGTAGCCATCCTGGAAATTAAAATAAAACTTCCCAGGACATTAAATATCCCGGTTCTTGTAATTTGCACAATTATGGACCAATCTAGACAATGCATTAACGTGTATTCATTCATGGGAGATATTCTTCCATGGATATGTCCCAGTGTTTTTGTTACCTTGGAGGTGGCAACCCTCGCGGGCAGTGTGAAATGAAATCGTGGGCAGGGAGGTCTCTCCCCCTCCCCCCCCCTGGTATAAGCGCATCCTGGCATACACGCAGTTCATTAATGATCTTTCAGAAGCAGCACGTGGTTATTATGGATGTTACGGATTAAAACATGTCACTTTTTTATATGCAGGACAAACATACATGCTTATTTTTGCTCAAATATATATATATGGGTTAGGTACAGTAACGATTAGAGTGTTGATGTTCTGTAGGTAAATATGTGTAAATGGATGGGAAGTACATACGGTGCTTAATTATATCGTGCAGTTTTGGAATGTGAATGAAGGGTTCGTATAATCATTATCAGGAATGTAACTTCACCCCTCCCTCCCTCCTCTATGCGACTCTATGAATTGCCACAATGTGGTAACGGTTCCATGAAATGATCTTTTTGTTTTTACATTCAGAATCAGCAGTAGGGAGTGTCGCGCCTCGAGTGGTTTACAGGGTTTACGTCAACCAAACACAAGGAACGTAACGGCTTAGGTTAAAGATTGAACGTTGGGAACAACGTTGGGCGAACGTTGGTTAAACGACATGTCAATGTTCGAACGTTGTTTCAACCACATGTCAACGTTCGTTAAACTTTGGTTCAACCACATGTCATCGTTGGGCGAACGTTAGTTAAACCACATGTCAACGTTGGTCGAACATTCAATGACATGTTAACGTTGGGCGAACGTTGGTTCAATGACATGTCAACGTTGGTTGAACGTTATCATGTTTGCTGGGTAGAGCCGGCTCACCACTGTTGACTCGCAGAGCCACCCAGCCACCTCAGAGGTGTTTAAAAATAAAAAAAATTAAACAGCAACATTGATCGTGTCGCTTCGGTTAATGGGGTTAAGTGCGTCAACCACAGCAAAAAAGATTCACAAAAAAACGATTTGATGTTGTTGTTGCTCTGTCAGCAGTGGCGCACAATTAACAATAACAACCGCAAATTTGTCATTAACACTGTGGCCTTGAGAGGTAAAAAAAAATAGGATGACGCGATGTTCTATGAAGGGTCATTAACAATAATAATTAGATGTATAAAGCGCCCTTCAACAATCGTTATCAGGGCGCTAGAAACCCGAAACGTCGCCTGTTCCCTTTCAAAGCCACGGTGTTGGTTGACGAATGTGCTGACTTTTGTTTGTGTGTGTGTGTGTTCGATAACGGAGCCATCCAAATCGCTACCACAAGCGTCCGCGTCCATGCGAGCGACTCAGGAAACCACGGCGAGGCTCGGCCGCGTCCTCCTGGAAATGTTTCGTGGACGGTCAAGGCTGCTGTCTTCCCCATGCAAGGTGGCTCGAATGCGCTGCTGCGAATTCCTGTTTAATGTCCAGTCCGATTACCCCCTCGTTATAGACGCAGACAAAAGTGTGAGAGATACATCTACATATAGATATGTTATTTAAAACTTGATTATTGTATTCTTTGGGTCTTTCGGTAACGCCACGTAGATAGGTTCCAAGAAAATGACAAAAAAAATCTACGACGTTTCGATCGCAACACAAGCAATCGTCATCAGGAAAAGGAGGGGTTAGCCTCTAAAGTGAACTGTTTTATAAAGGTTCACAATGGGCGTAGCCCCAGGGTATTAGTGATGGTCCAGGGCTGCGTCCGTGGTGGGTTGGCTACCACCCACGGTGTGCGAAAGAAATTCAACGTACGCCGCGAATTGACAACCGCAGCTTCACCAGACGCTGACCAGCACAGCGGGGACAGCTGGATCCGATCCCCCCAATGTTCCTGCCGGCTGTGAGGAGCAGCTTGCAAAGCTGGGATTGATGGTCACCTCCAGCAGGGCATGGGTCTGGCGCAGAGGTCGCAAACAGGTTTTGATTCTTTACCCGTACCCGTACCCGGCCGCACCAGGGTCGCAAACGGGTACCCGTACTCCGTACCCGGCCGGGTATGGGTACCCGTACGCTACCCGTACCCTACCCCTGAAATGAGTGACAAACGGTTACTCACCAGTGACTCACGGCCTACCCGTACCCGGCCGGGTACGGGTACCCGTACGCTACCCGTACCCGTGCCTTACCCGAAATGAGTGACAAACGGTGACTCACCAGTGACTCACGGCATACCCGTACCCGGCCGCACCAGGGTCGCAAACGGGTACCCGTACCCAGCCGGGTACGGGTAGCCGGGTATCGGGTAGGGTACGGGTATCAGGTACCTGGTTGCGACCTCTGGTCTGGCGTAGGGAGCCGGCCGTGTGGCTGGTGGCCACCTCGGGGGGCACCGGCGGGCTGGAGCCGGCGGGCGAATAACGGGGCCGACCACCCACCTGGTGGAGGACGCGTCTCAGATCTGATGCGAGTCACCACAGAGGGCGCGCAGTGTTTATTGTTTTTAAACCGGCTGGTTTATAGTTTTTAGCACAGGGGCAATGCGGAAGGAACGTTCGGGCCGACCCTTGCCCAAATGAGCGAAAGCGATGAAATCTCTGGGCCGTGACATTTAAATTGAGTTTTTTTTTTCTTTCTACTGACCGATATTATGGTGAAGTATGGTCAACCCAGGTGACTGATGCAGTGTGGGCAGGCCTTCATCCAGCAGCGGACTGACAAAGGCTACGTACATTTCGAAAGTACGGACTTAACAACATTTGTGGTGCCAAATTAGAACTTTTGTAGCCCTTCGATACAATCAATAAAATTGACATCGGTCATCCAGTCACGCGGCAATTTGCGAAGCGACGGCCGCCGTGCCTTTCAGACTTTACATTGGGAGCAAAAGCTGCTCTGCCCTTTGCTTAATTAAAACGACGAGCGCTTAATTCATCTCAGCCCTCCCCCCCCCCCCCCCGTGTAATCCAGGACAACAACAATAAACAACTTGCATAAAAGGTGTGCGTGTGGTGGTAGTGGAAGCAGGCCTGCTCTTAGGAAATTGGTCGAGTCGCAGCGCATGGCGAGCAGTTACACGGTCCTAAAAGCAGTGGCGGGGTTTTTGCTGTTTTTCTTTTTACAAAACGTGTTCTGGATTATATACGACCGGTCCTGCGGGAGGGGAGGTCGCTTGAACGCGGGTTGTTAAAAAAAAAAACTTTGTTAATTATCGTGAAACGCTACAGCGAGCTGGACACGTGCCTCTTGAAAGGATTGGCGTGAATTACAAGGGGGGCGGGGGGGCATTGGGGGTGAGCATGGCAGATGCAAACACGTGGACGCGTAACCACCCCGCCTGGTCGCTGCCTTTGCGGCTGTGTGTGTGGAGTGGGGGGGGGCAGTGTCAAGCGCATCGTTGCCCTGCTGTGTCCGCACACAGCGCAGCGGGGGTGGTCGTCAGGGCGAGTCCCACCTCGGAGAGAGATACGGGCGCGACTTTGTTCGCCCACCATTGGAACCTCATTTGCCAGAAGAAAAAATATGAATTGTTTTTTTACCCTTTTATCTGGCAACAAAACTGACACCTTTTTTTACAAGGAGTCATGTTTGCATAGACCACAATACCTGCAGTCATGATGCAAACAAAAAACACAACTCTGATAATAGTGCGCCTTTAGGCGTCATCTGGTCCAACACCATGTGAGACTAGGCTCTAAGGAAAGCTGTCTCGGGTGTGGACCAATCAACTTCAAGGACAGTGCATACATTATCAGAGTTGTGTTTTTTGTTTGCATGATGACTGCAGGTATTGTGGTCTATGCAAACATGACTCCTTGTAAAAAAGGTGTCAGTTTTGTTGCCGGATAAAAGGGTAAAAAACCAATTATCATACTTTTGTTCGCGCACGCGAGGCGTCGCGTGTCCTCGTGGGCGCCAGCTGCATTATGGTCCCAGTCGACTGGGGGGGGGTGGGGGGGTCCCGCGTCGCGTGATGATAGCGCCTCGACGTCGGTAGCGCTCGCGACCCAAACCTGGCCCGCACCGCCGTGCAGGTGGTAGACTCGGCCTAAAATGAGCACGGCACTTGGTTTCGGCTCCGGCCGTGAACGTCGGACAAGGGGGGAAGACGATTGCGGTCAGCACGGCGTTGGTTCATGTAACCCCCCCTCATTCATCCGAGTGCGTGCTGACCTTAATAGGCGATCGCTAACAGCCCTCGCCGCGACAGTCCACGAACAATTGACAGCTCCCTAGCCAGCTCCGCCTCGTCGTATCAACTTCGTCCGCTGGGCCCTCACCGTCAAACGAGCTGCTGGCCGGCGATTGGCAGGGAGTGTCAGCGGTCGGGCGTCGTCGCGTTAGGAAGTTAAAGACCCAAAAAGTGGGGGGGGGGGGGGGGGGGAGGCCATCATAGAAAGAAGGGATTTACACCAAGGGTGGCACAGTCGGGTTTTTTACAATCGGGCTTAATTGTCTTTTTATATTAAACCCGATCATCTGAGATTGGGAGAAATCCGGTGTAATTGGTTCTAATTGCAGAACCGCACTTCGCCAACTTCTCAACGATGGGCTTCATCCATTCCAAGCTAAGGAACTCACTGGCGCCCACGATTGTGGAGAAGCTCGTGTTCATCAAGACCAACCTGCCCGCCGCATTCTACCACTACCCCGTGCCCGACGGCCCCCCCGAGTACGATAGCAGCACCGACAGAAGAAGCAGCCTAAGCCTTGGATCAGAGTTTCGTATTCATTAAACCAGGTTTTAATTCCCCGAAATCGGGTTTAATTGTAATAAAGAAAAAACCCGATGCCTGGGTTTTTTGGAAAAATCGGTTTTTTCCCACCCATGATTTACACCTTTGGCTCAAGACCAGCAACGTTGGTGAGAACAATTGCCGCAGGCTGGATCGTGGATACCAATTGGAAGCACGTGATGGTGCAGCAGCCCTGCAATTGCCTGCTCAGGCCCCTGCTGGCGGAAGGGCATCCGCTAGACCTCTAGAGGGAGCTGCAGAGAGCACCTATGCACCTCTAGAGGGAGCTCTAAGTGAGCCTCTCTAGAGGGTGTTGTGGACCTACTCTTCCACGCTGGCCAGTACGTCTTGGGAAGAGGTGGCAGTCGGCCACACTTTACCCCACCGCATGCGATCTGCTGATCGACGAGACTGCCAATTGCAGCGGTCTTTAGTTACTCGCCGTTGTCATTCCGCAGCTGGCAGTAGCTGTCTGCCACAATAACAGGAAATTACTTTTAAGAGAAGAAGAAAAAAAACTACTTTGCCATTCAAAATCTGCACAGTAATTGTCGTGGCAATTCATGTTAACAAATTTCATTGTGAAATCTCACCCTTATATTATGGAGCCAAGTGACCTAACCCTGGCCCTAAGCCTGACCCCCCTCCACCCCACCACCACTGGATTCTGCATCCCAAGCCGAGTTGGAAGAGGTGACAAATTCCACATCGGCCTGTTTTTCCTGCTGCAGGTAACACGCTGGGTAGTCTCAAGCGATATTTGGGGATGGAAGAGTTAGTACGATGAAGAATCAAAGGTGACGCTGGCCGGCTGGTGTCAAAGTGCCGAGCCAGTACGGCCGAGATCCTGGGTTTGAACTCGGGTAGATGGGCAGTGGCTGAAAGCGAGTTCTCAGGCGCAGTGAGTTGACCAGTCTCGGCCTGCTCACCGATAACTGCGCCAAACCGCCCCTCCATCACTCTCACTTTGTTTTTCTTCCACTAAACGTGGACGTGGCAAAATTGCAACCCCGTTCAGAATGTCAAAATACCGCTTCGACTGCGCGCGGGATGGACGCGTGGACGGCAACGGAGAGGAGCGAGACGAATGTGATGCCATCGTCTGGAGCCACTCTGCTGCGTCCCTTGCTCAACCTCGCCACGTGGTGCCCGCGCTTGGGACGCAATTATCGGGGGAAACAGCACGGCGATTTTTTTCATGGTCTCCACAACAGTACGATCTGTTAGTATCGTTATTAAGAGACGACTATAATTGGACAGCGCGGTTGAAGGGGTGGCGCAGTGGTCACCGCGCTGCACTACAAACCCGGCGGACTCGAGTTCGATTCCCGACCACGGCTAGCATCAAGCGAGCGATATCTGAGCCGGTCCCTCTGGGTTCCCCGTCTTTACCGCGCCACGTGCCGACCCCGGCGTGCCAAGTGTGGAGGGCACCCACCGAGCGTTTCAGATATCCACCCACCACCGATGTTAGCCCTGGCCAGGAATCGAACTCTGTCTATCTAAATATGGCTTTCCATAACGGATGACACCTTTGCGGACACCTGCGCTGAGAAAAATCGCAGTATTGCTACGGGGGAAGTCGGGCGGAATTTCAAAATAAACAAATGCGGGATTATCCTGAGAAGCTGCGTGGGCTTTTCAAACTCCACCGTGCAGTGGATGGAAGAAGCCTCTTACAAACCCATGGCCAATGGCGCCTCCCAATTAGTCAATTAACAAGCCGCCCCGAACCGCCTGCTGGAGACCGCCACTGCCAAGCGCCGTCGGTACGAGGAGTCGCGATGTCGTCGCACGAGTCGTGATATCGTTGGACCAGTCGTGATGTCGTCATGTCGTCGCACGAGTCGTGATGTCGTTGGACCAGTCGTGATGTCGTCATGTCGTCGCACGAGTCGTGATATCGTTGGACCAGTCGTCATGTCGTCATGTCGTCGCACGAGTCGTGATGTCGTTGGACCAGTCGTGATGTCGTCGCATGAGTCGTGATGTCGTTGGACCAGTCGTGATGTCGTCATGTCGTCGCACGAGTCGTGATATCGTTGGACCAGTCATGATGTCGTCATGTCGTCAGACGGATCGTGATATCGTTGGACCAGTCGTGATGTCGTCATGTCGTCAGACGGGTCGTGATATCGTCAGACGAGTCGTGATGTCGCACGAGTCGTCGTGATGGACGGGTCGCGATGTGTTATGATGTTTTGTGGGGGGGTTTGGTGAGGGGGGGGGGGTTCCCGTCTTTTGTCCCTTCTTCTCGATCCCATCTCCTCCGCCTCATCCCAGTCGCTCCCCGAGTCGTTCGGCAATCTTCACCAGCTCGTGCTCCATGGCCTTCAGCTCCAGCAGCTGTTTGCTCTGCCAAGGGGACGTTGCGACAACAACAGAAACATCGCGATCGAGCCACTGCGGATTTACCCCCCTCCCCCCCCCCCCCTGATCTTCCAGACGTCCCCATCCTCCTAACCCCCCCCCCGCGCATTTGATTAGCACGGTTGGCTGCGTACGGTGCGAAAGAAGTCCAACACACGCGTACGTCCATACACACGACGAAAGCGAACTGTGTGTACGTGAAAGAAGCATTGGCAGTGGCCGAGGCTAAGAATTGTTCCGGGGCCTCCGGAAACCTTTCGACAGCTCTGGGCTGAAATTAATTCTCCATAATAGAGGTTTGTTTGGGTTAGATCGCGTAAATATGTAAAAGTGTCGTTAAACTCGCCACCACCCGACACGGCCAACTAGTAAGGGTTGTCACGTAAACAGAACGTGGCCAATTCGTCACTAGTACAGCACTAGTGTGTAGTGTATAGTGTAGTGTATAGTGTAGTGTACTAGTACAGCACGAGTGTATAGTGTAGTGTATAGTGTAGTGTACTAGTACAGCACTAGTGTATAGTGTAGTGTATAGTGAGTATACTAGTACAGCACTAGTGTGTAGTGTAGTGTATAGTGTAGTGTATAGTGTAGTGTACTAGTACAGCACGAACCGGTGTGTTGGAGAGCCAAGCCACACATTTACAATCTGAGTACGACGTTTCGCCAGTAATTACAACCAGCTTCATCAGGCGACAGCCAGATTTGTAGATAAATCCTCCCGTTTCCTTAGTAACAAATTGGCACGTTCTGTTTACGTAACAAACCTTGCTAATCAGCTGGGGCGGGTGGTGTTGGGTTAACGACACGTTTATATATTTAACGCGATCTAACCCAAAGACCTTTATTCTGTTGTGTACGAACGCGTGGAGACGTGTACGCATCCACGCGTCCCCGTCTCCACGTGTTCCACATGGAGACGGGGCCCATGTGAATCAGCTCGTGTGCAGCTCCCGGGTGAACTCTAGCATCGCACGAAACCTGTGTGACGGTGGCGATGTGTTGGGGAGACCTCCATCCAGCAGCGAATTGATCACGGTGACGATGACAACAACGACCCGTGTCATCATTGTACTCACGTTCAGCGTGCTGTGCTTGCGGCTCTGGGTGTCCTGGGCCCGCTTGTCGCCTCCCCATTCCTTCCCACCTCCTCGCCCCACCTCCTCCTCCTGCTCCTCCTTCTCTTCGTCACCCTCTTCCCCGTCGTCGCCCTTCGCCGCTGCCCGGTGCGCCGCTCCCCACGCAGGCCGCCCCTCCGAGTGGACCTTCCCCGCCCAGCGGTGGCTGCTGCCGACACCGTCGCCAAACACCTCCTCGCCGCCCACCTGCTCTTCTCCCTCGTCGTCGTCGTCGGTACGATCGTCGTCTTCCTCTTGCTCGCGGGCATCGTCTTCCACCTCGTCGTGGCCGTGCCGGCCGCCCCCCTCGCTCTTTCGCGTCTCGTACTCAACCTTCTCGTCGTCTCTGTCGTCGTCGTCGTCTTCGTCGTCGGATTTCCTCTCGGCGAGAGGTTCCCCCTTGTCGGGGTGCCTGCCGCCGTAGTCGCCGCGCCGCCGCTGCTGCTCCTGCTCCTGCTGCTCCTGCTGCTTCTGTCCCAGGCGCTGGCGGATCTGGTCCAGGTACTCCAGCAGCTGCTCGGCCGCGGGGCGGCGGCGGCCGTCGTGCGCCTTCCGCGCCGCGCTCCTCTCGACGCCGCTCGTGCCGTGAGACCCCCGCTGGGGCCCCGCGTCTCCGCGATGCGCCGGCGTCTCCGTGACCTCCTCCACATTCGCGTCCTCCTCCTCCACCTCGTCGTCGTCCCCGCCAGTCCCCACGCTCCTCGCCACCTCGTCACCGACGCCGTCGTCCTTGTCCTCGTGGTGTGGGGACCGCTCCTCTTCCTCCTCCTCCTCTTCGTCGCCGTTGTCGGGAGCGCCGTGCATCTGTCCACGTGGCTCTTCCCCGTTGCTGCGCTCGCGGTCGGTGGCCTTCTCGGGGGGCGCCTCTCCGTGACGCGGCTCCACGCGGACACGGCCCCCGCTCCACTTCGTTCCTTCTCCTCCCACTCCTCCTGCGCGACGCTCGGCACTCCCCGGCCCCTTCGTGCGGAACTCCCGTGACTTGCCCACTCCAGATTTGGTCTCGTCATCGCCACCCTCCTCCTCCTTCTCCTTCTCATCATCGTCGTCGTCATTCTCCTGCTGCTGCTGCTTCTTCTTCTTGGCGTCTTTCTTGTCCTTCTCCACGTGGTCGACACGTGTCTCTTCATCATCCTCCACCTCCTCCTTCTCCTTCGTCTCCTGCCGCTCCTCGCTCGGCTCGTACTTGGCGTCTGCTGCTGTGGAAGCGGTCCCCGCGCGCTCCCCTGCGGGGCCCCGGCCCGCGATCTCCTCCAGCTGAGACAGGAGGTCGTGCTGGTGGATCAGCGTGGAGATTCGATTGTCTGTCAGGGGGGGGGGGGGGGGGGGGAACCCAACACAGCCGAAGGACATCGTTCTCGTCACGCCGAGGTGGCGACAGATGGCAATGGTGGCGATGCCCATCGTCGTGGCTGTGATGGTGGTGGTCGTGGTGGTGGTGACGCTGATCACGATGATGATGATCGTCTGACAATCGTTATCATCGTGGTGACGGTGCTGATGATAATCTATACATTTTAATATCATGATGACAATGATAACGACGATGATGTGTCAGTTGTTGTGGTGGTAGTGGCCACTATGACGATATTAATGATGCAGAACAACAACAATAACAATGAATTCAGTGATTGTGATGGTCGTGTTGATGTTTGTGATGGTGACTGGCGATCGACGCATCTCGTGATGGTGGTGATGATGACAACCCATATCGGCGATATTATGATGCAAGGCCGTAGCCATGGAGTCAACATTGGGGGGGACCAAACTTACAGGGGGTCTGGGGGTCGCCCCCCAGAAAAAAAAATCTAAATTTGAAAACTCATTTCCTGCCTAAATATTAAAAAAATTGACTAACACATAGGATGGACTATTTATTTATTTTTTACAATAATGTCTAATAGTGTATTGTATTACATTGCTCTGTTTTTTGTATTTTTTTACCTTTTCTTGTTTCATTGTATGTAATGGCAAAGATTCGGGATTAATAAATTACAACCATCACCACAATCATTTCAACAGAAATCTATTTTATAGCAATATATTGGGGGGGGGGACATTTTGAGCATATTTTAATATTGGGGGGGGGGATGTGTCCCCCCCAATATATACTATCATTACGGCCTTGTTATGATGATATTAATCAAGAAAACAACGGAAGTGATCGCATGACTCGTGTTGTTAACGACGATCATAAGGACGACACAATATAATCAATTCTGAGCGCCCGTTGAGATTATCCCCCTGTGGATGGGGGTGACGGGGGTCACGGCGCCCGTTGAGATTATCGCGACCCCCTGTGGATGGGGGTGACGGGATTCGCGGTGCTCGCCTCCACGAAGGATCTCCATGCACTCGGCGCTGGCTGCGGGGGGAGGCTGCGCGGGAGACAGCGCTCCCGACAGCACCTCGATGATGCACTTCAGCGCCTGCAGGACGCGCGCGCAGACAGACGGACAGACGATCAGACAAATAGACGGACAGACGGACAGACAGACAAATAGACGGACAGACGGGCAGACAGACAAATAGACGGACAGACGGACAGACAGACAAATAGACGGACAGACGGACAGACAGACAGACAAATAGATGGACAGACGGGCAGACAGACAAATAGACGGACAGACAGACGGGCAGACGGACAGACGGGCAGACAGACAGACAAATAGACGGACAGACAGACGGACAAACGGGCAGACTGACAGACAGACAGACAAATAGACGGACAGACAGACGGACAGACGGGCAGACGGACAGACAGACAGACAAATGGACAGACGGACAGACAGACAAATAGACGGACAGACAGACAGACGGGCAGACGGACAGACAGACAGACAAATAGACGGACAGACAGACGGACAGACGATCAGACGGACAGACAAATAGACGGACAGACGGACAGACGGACAGACAGACGGACAGGCAGTGACATGGTTTTTGCAGGCAGATGCACAGATAGATAAATCGATAGAGAGGCAGGCAGACAGACAGACAGATGAAGACAGACAGAGAGAGATTGCAAGGTAGACATGCACACGAATGAAAAGACAGACGAATGGGAAGACAGAGAGAATGGTAAGATAGACGGAGAGCTGGGATGACAGGCTGGAATACATATAGGCAAACAGATATGCACACACACGTGGACTGACAATCGGACAGACTGGCATATTAATTAACAGACAAGCGGACCAGACGATTGGGCAGAGAGTAAAACAGATAAGCACAGAGTGGGAAATGCAGTTGTAAAAAGACACAGACAAGCGCTCAGTGCGATTACCAACTCTTGGAGGCTACAAAAAGCCCCGCGGTTACAGTGTGGATTTGTCAGGATCAGTACACTCATGTAGCAGCACACCGAGAGCTTTTCACAAAAGCCATAATTTTCATTTGCCAGCGCAATCATTGCACAGCAGGCGGTGGCGGCATCGACGGGGGCCGCGACCTGTGAGCCACCGCTAAGGATTGGTGGATCATCCAGAGATTTCAGAGACTTCCAGAATGTTTTTTTCTCCGGGTCCTCCGGTTTTTCCCTCCACACGCGTTTCGAGCATTTGGGTGCAAAAAAATTCCACGCGATAAGCCACTTGGCTGAGCTATCATTTGTGGCCAGATCGCTTCTGAAATAGAACTACATAGCTCAGTGGGACCTTACCTGGTAAAATAAAAATAGGTCTGTCGGAAAGACAGCGTCATTCAGACGCTGTCTTTCCGACAGACCTGTTCTTCACCTGAGGACGGCTGCTTGCGTTGTGGCCGAAACGTCGTGAGAATTGTATTTTATTACGTTTTATTTTTATTATTTTATTATTTCCCTTCTACGTGACTTTACCGAAAGAACCAAGAAGATGAATCCCCGCAGTCACGAAAGCTTTAAATCGAAAAATAAAAATAGTTTACAAGTTTTATTTTATTTTGTTTGATCTGCACAGCATCTGAGCTGTGTTGTCCCCTCGTTCTCGTGGTGGGTTCCTCCGGGCACTCCGCTTTCCTCGCAGACGAAGCAAAACCGCTCATTGAAGAGGAATTGGCCGAAACATCCCGATGCTTCGGCCAATTCCAATTGGTCAGATCCTCACGGCTCTCCGAACCTCCGAGCGAAGGCTGCGCATAAGCCTCCTCATTCTCTGACGTGGGATGCTGTAGACGATGAGAGTGGGCCTGTCGCTTTTTTCTCAGCCAGCCTGAACGCCTCCTCTTTCAGCCAGGCTCTCTGGGGAGGTCTGAACAGTGTACCCAACGCAGCCATTGCAGCTGCATGAGCCACAGTCCTAAACCTCGCCCATTTCCCCTCGGCATCATGGAGGAGTGGGGGACGATGCCAACCCCCCAGCTGCAAGCGACGATGACATTCTCAAATCCACCACGTAGATTCAAACCCACCGCTTCGTCGGACGGGGACAGCTTTCCACTCACGGGCAGGGATGAGGCTGCGAAAACAAGGGGAGGGGGGGGTAAATGTGTTAGGGAAAGGCGTCTATTGTTTCGCGTTTATTGTCGGGCATCGAACTTTTGCCGTGGGCTCTTCTTGCACTCAATAAAATGACGACTCACAAAGGAGCTGTGGATAATGGCGCGGAGGGAGTGCACTTACCAACGATAACATCTGGCCAAGCGCGGAGCTCAGCATGCGCAAGGCTTTTTGAATGCGCCTTGACTCGGGGATTATTGTCCCACTCGATGTTTTCCCGAACGCTGCTAAGGAACATGGCTTGGTGTGGTATGCTGCCCATTGGCGTAAGGCACTGCCACACGAGTACAACGCACGCTTGTTTTATGATGATCATATATCGTTGTACCCTATATACCTTAATAATAATAAGAATAAAAAAACCCAAGTACAGGTTTATTGGAACGGGGCACATAAGTCTGGCGCCCGTGCATCGATGCTGGCCGGGTGCCAAACTCAATCCCTGCACGCAGAGCGTTCCAGACTCTTCCAGCCGAAATGAAGCACAGCCTCGTACACTGTGAAAACAATGTCACCTAGTGTGGTGAAGTATGGTGAAAAAAAAATAATTCCGACTACCGGCACGGCGTGGTGACCCAGTAAACATGCAACGTTGACCCCAACGTTAGCCCAACGTTAGCCCAACGTTCCATGTTTACTGGAGTATCGCTGTCAGCGTTAAACGGGATCCTTACATGCATTTCCATCCGTATATGAATACACAAATGCAGGCGTATGCATTGTATGTGTGGACAGGAATATAATGGAGAGGCATAAACACACAAGGCATCGTGCATATATGTACAGTATCACGACGTGATATACACACCACACACCTCTGATCCTATGCGTGCATTCATATGTGAAACACATAGCCGGTGAAAGATACGGAACCCTCGATTGCTTATAGGAGACTGTTGGGGCTGGTGGGCAAGATACAACGCCCGGTTGCCTTGCTCTGCCCAGCGCTTGCGGCGCACCACAAAGAGGTGCTCGTTTATTGCCGAGTCGACCTAGAGGAGGCGCAAGCCCCTTTTAGACACCACTCGCCACTGATGTTATCCGTGACCGCGAATAGCACCCGGGGGTCAATGGGGGATAGTAGCCCAAGGCGCTCACGCGCACTCAACAACAGCCGCTCTAACACAAAGACACACACGTGCGCACTGGAGACTACAACACTCGAGGGTTCTAGATTTGAAGCTTTCGTGACTGCAAGGATTCATACTCTTAGTTCTTTCGGTAAAGTCACGTAGGTAAAAAATTAAATTATTTTTTATTAATTTTAATTTCATTTTTTACCTACGTGACTTTACCGAAAGAACTAATAGTCTAATACACGAGGGGTTCGTTGTGTCCAAGTTAACGAGCATTGCCTATCTCAGAAGGTCGGCAACCAAACGTAACGAGAGGAGCCATTTTTATAGAATTCGGTACAGAATAACAACAAAAAACCCTCAATATTTCACTGCACTGTGTGGCGAATGCGGGACGGTGCCTGCTCCTTAACAAACACTCGTCACGAAGCAGCACTCCTTAAAGAGCCCCTTGGCCTGTCTCTCTCGCACACACCCTGTGACCATGCCCATGCGGAATCCCCCCAACCTCGTCCGATCTGGGAAGCTAAGCATGAGCTTGAGCTCCGATGAGGCTTGGAAGGGGTGACCACCAATGCACAAACAGGTTGCCATAGGCGGCTTCGGGGTTCGACCTGGTTGGCGGTACAGAAACCACCACCACCCCCCCGCCCACTATTGTTGTACTGCGCTTCTATGCGTCCACGTCAAACGCTCAAAACCCGCGCTGTCCAGGGTGCTGAAATAGGTTCAAGATAATCCCCGACGACCCGCACAGCCGTGCGGACGAAAATGCCTCATCCAGCAGTGGATTGACACAATGGCTGTACACGTACATGTACACATGTCTCACACACACACATACGTCATTGAAGTGCCTACATCACCCATAACACAGTACGAACCCCCTGTCAATGCATACTCACCGGTGGAAGATAACGCGACCGTCGCTATGAACACGGCGATGAGAGCCATGATTACTGCCATCAGCCGGGAAGACCGCCTCGATGGCGATGTTGATGATGGCGTTACGACGGCGGGCGTTGTGTCTGTGTGCGCGCGTGCGCTGCGGTGATGGTGGCGCCCGCGGAAGCTCCGGATGTGAGTCGGGAGCTCTGAAGATGAGGCGGCAGGGAGCCACGGCTTTTTAAGCGCGCGCGTGAGCAGTTGTGCGCATGCGCGATCCCAGAGCCCTTTAGCACCATCATCATCAGCATCATCAGCAGCATCATCAGCATCATTCAGTGTGACTGGGCGTGAGCGCTGTGAGATATCGTCGTCATCAGCATCATCGTGTGTGACTGCGTGGGCGAATCCAGAGCCCATCAGCATCATCAGCACGGTCCTGTTTGACTGTGGGGATGAACGCTGCCACATATCATCATCATCGGTATCAACATAAGCAGTCGCATCATGTGTGACAGTACGAGGTTCCACATACCATCAGCATCGGCGTCGTCATCATCAGCAGCAGCAGCATCATCATCATGTGTGACTGGAGGCATGAGCGGTCCCCTATTCCATCATCATCAGCAGGAGGATCGTGTGTGTCTGTGCGTGTGTGCGTGCCATATATAATCAGCGGGATGATGCATGCTCGATTCACGGCCAACACCAGTGAACCGGTCCTGGGCCTCCCCTCGGTCGACTCAGCCTCAAATGAGAACCTGGTGTGGTGTGTAAACATCGCCACTAAGGAGACAAAGGCGACCGGACGTGGTGCTGATCACCCATCCCCTCGCTCACAAAATTCTGTTTAGGCTATACGGGAGATCTGTCTTTGTGGCCCCATATTTCGTTATCATCATCATCATCATGTGTGGGTGTGAGTTTACGTTTTACCACATCACATCAGCAGCATCGTACGTGGCAACACCATCATGTGATACTGTGCGCCCTAAAATATCATCATCAGAAGCATGATCATTCTCGCGTGTTCGCATGTGCGTGTGTATGTGTCTGTATGTGTGTGTGTGTGGGAGCGGTGGTGTAGTGGTTAGCGCGCTGCGCTCCAAACCCGGCCACCCGAGTTCGATTCCCGCTCATGGCCAACAGCAGTGACGATCTTTTTAACCGGTCCTGGGCCTCCCCTAGGTCGACTCAGCCTCAAATGAATATCTGGTGCGGTGTGTAAACATCGCCACTTGGGAGACAAAGGCGGTCGGGCCTTCATAGGTGATTCGTAACATAACTTGCCCCAACAGTTTGTTAAGGCTATACGGGGGATCTTTGTATGTTTGTGTCTGTGTGTGTGTGCTAGCAACTCTCCCCCTTCGAGAGCCGTGTCTTGCTTAATAGGTGCTCGCTAACAGCACTTAGCCCACCTAATAAAGGTTATAGGGGGGTAGGGGTGGGAGCGGTGGCGCAGTGGTTAGCGCCCTAGGCTACGAACCTGGCTAAGCGTGCTTCCCGGAGGACAGGGCCAGCCAACAATCCGTGGCTCATGATATGTGAACCGGCGTCGCCTAGATCGACTCGGCCTTAAATAGGCGCAGTACCTGGTGCATTTTTTTTGAGAACGTCAAAGCTGGGGAGACAAAGGCGTGGCGCCGATGAGATCACCACCCCTCTCACCAAGCGGCTCCCGAGAGAGACGCTCGCTCAGCTGACGGTACTTTCCGCAACAATGCAGGAGATGAAGGGGAAGTGGAGGGAGCCGACGTTTGCGTTTTAGTTGGATCTTGCGAGCGGGGCGCGTCTGGAAGTCACGGGGGGCTCAGAACCCGTTCAGAATTCAGATCTCACTCGACCCCGACGCCTGCTGTATATTCGGAGTTTGCATGTTCACTCTGGCCCGTGGTGGCGTGGATTTTCTTTTTAAAATCCTTTAAATTAAGTTCACTTGCTTGCTTAGGACCGTGCACATCTTTCGGTCGTTTTTTAACCCACTTCCCGTAATCCAATCGAGCTGACATTTTCCATACAGACTCGTTGTGCGTGACAATTAATGTTCGTGAAATTTTTCCCCCCAAAATTTTACACTTTTTAGGACAAAAATATTATATTTAATTACCAATTGCTTAATGGTGCAATGCAATCATCTGACCCATAGGTGGCAGCCATCTCAAGCCAGAGGACGAGATGACTCTAGCCGCCACGCATATAAAGGATTTATAGTGAAAAACTTTGTTTTTACGGGTTATACTTATTTACCCTGTGCTAGATGAAGAACCTCCGCACGCCGTGCGGTCACATGGTTTGGTTTAGTGGCGTTACTGATGGTGGCGATAGTGGGAGTGGTGGCGGTGCGGTTAGCGCTACGCTGTGCTATGAACCCGGCTCACGGCCAACATCAGTGAAGGTTATCTGAACCGGTCCTGGGCCTCCCCTCAGTCGATTCAGTCTCAGTGGAGTACCTAGTGCGATGTACAACAACATCGCCACTGGGGAGACAAAGGCGGTCGGGCGTGGTGGTTGCCAGCCACCCCCTCGTGTGCCGTGCCGGCCTTCAGAAGTGCTACTCGCTAACAGCACTTGCCCCAATAGTCTGTGAAGGCTATACGGGATATCTTTGTCTTTGTTGGTGATTTGGAGATGGTGGTTGTTGTGATGTGGTAGTACAATAATGATGAACTTGATTGTGATGGTGAAGGTATTGGTGCTGTTGGTAGTGGTTGTAATAACAATGGTGGTCAGTCGACCCGTGGCACCTGGGTCTGCTCCGTGACCTGCCAGCGGGCGTTCGACACTTCACGTGGCCTCAAGGTGCACATGGCCTGGCACAAGCATCGTGGTGACGTCACCGCCACTTAGTGGCGAATGGCGGTTGTTGTTGTTGGTGGCCCTTTGTTTGGGCAGAGACAAAGTGACAGAAACCATCATCATCAGCATCATCTCTCTTTATTAGATTGCATTCATACACGCAGCTTACCGTTGTGGGCAGCAGAGGGCAGTGTAGTGATAGCCATTGTACTGACCGGCGTGGTGCAGTATGGACAAAATAGCCCCATCACCTGTACGCGTGGGTAGGACCACGTGACTCACATCACCCCCCCCCCCCCCCCCCCGTTACTCTTCACTCCCAACGCTCCCTCCCTTCACCCCCTAGTAGCCCACTAACTGACCCCCCCACCACCCCCAGTAGCCCCCCTATTGACCCCCTCCCTTCACCCCCCTAGTAGCCCACTAACTGACCCCCCCCACCACCCCCAGTAGCCCCCCTATTGACCCCCTCCCTTCACTCCCTAGTAGCCCCACTCACTGACCCCCCCTCCTCTCCCCTTGTCCCCATCCCGACAGTGACCCCCTCCACACACCCCTAGTCCCACCCCCTCGTGACTTCCCCCCCCCACCTCCCCCCCTACCCCACCTCCCCCCCACCCCCACCTCTCCCCCCACCCCACCTCCCACCCCACCTCCCACCCGCCACCACACCTCCCCACCTCCCCCCCCACCCCCACCTCCCCCCCCACCTCCCCACCCCACCTCCCCCACACCTCCCCCCGCCCTCTCCCTTCAGGCCCCCTCCCTGGTCTCCGGGGCTTCTGTGACCCCTGCGGTACGGGCCGTGCGCCCGTGAGCGCGGCTGTACTCGGCGTAGGAGAGGAGGCCGTCTCCGTCCGAGTCGTCCTCCTGCAGGACCTCGTCCACCATCCCTGGTGGCCGCGAGGGGGCGACACGCCATCAACTCGGTTTAGATACAGACGGTCATCGATTTACGAACACACTTCGTTCCTGAGACCCGTTCGTAAGTCGAACCGTTCGTAAGTCCGTTCGTAAGTCGTTTCTGTAAGTCGGCAAACTTTAATGACTGCTGCTTCGCGACAGTTATTTATCAAGGACCAGCACCGTCTCGTATTGACACCACGCAGTACCGAATCCGATATAAATGTCTCTGCTTCTTGGTTCTTTCGGTAAAGTCACGTAGAATGGAAATGGAAATAATTTAGCGAAAGAACCAAGAAGATGAATCCTTGCAGTCACGAAAGCTTTAAATCGAAAATGTCTCTTCTTCTGATTATCGTTATTTCGGTTGCCGAGCCCTGCAATGGGAGAGCTCACGCTCGTAGACGGCGAGTCGCTCCTCTGGACCCACGTCGCCCAGCGATTCCTGCAGGGTGTCCGCCAGCGCCGCCAGCATCTCGAGGCCGTCCAGGAACGAGTTGCCGTCAAAGTCGTGCATCCTGCGGCACAGTTCAGGCGTCCAAAACAAGGGCAGGAAGCGCCGCATTCCCTGCAGAAATCTTTTTGGCAACACAAAATGTGAAATGGTAAATCTGCGTTACGGATGTGTGTTGTTCAAGGGACTGTTGGCAAATGGGCCTCCACTAGAGATACACTGGATCGAGAGCTCCTCCCAGTCCACCATACTCCAATAGGGTATTTGGCCTACTCTTCCACGCTGGCCACACTTTATCCCCCCACGTGCGACATTCCCACCCGACTGGCTCTGGTCAATTAATTTATACTGCTGGGTGGACAGAGGCGGCAGGGGTCGGTGGTGGTGGGGAGTGACGATTTAAGAAACTTGCCACCAGTGTTTCAACTGCCGCGACGGGAGAGACGGCGATACATTTCCCATTGGATACTTTCCGAAGGACCTAACAGGGAATGGGCCTGACGACGACACAATCATAAGAAGAAAAATAAAGTGCACACTACCTGAGCGTATTGGCACAAGACAGAGAGGAAAGTGGAAAGAAATTACGAAATGTGCAGTGGACACCTACGGGACTATCTGCCCATGAATCGTGATGGTGATGATGAAAAATATTGTGATGGTAATGATGATGATGATGAAAAATATTGTGATGATGATTGGGATGGTGATAATCGTGATGGTGAAAAATATTTTCCGGGGGCTTCCCAACCCCCAACTCCCTGGACCTCCCCTAACCGCCACAAATCTTGTGGTATCAAAAAAGCCACTTAAAACCCAGCGCCACTCACGTGAAATAATAAAACTCCTGCTCCGCCTCGCTCATCTTGGACACGTCCACTTCCCCCACGTGTCCCTTCAGCTCCTCCTCCAGGTGACTGCGAAACGACGGACGCAGGTGTCACGCGTGCACGTCGAACGGCACGTGGCACCTTCGTTACCCCTCTCGTCCTAACACCCAGCGCCGCCGTCACATACGCACGCATGTATGCTGATCTTCTTTCGCACCGTACGTAGCCGATCGTGCCACTCGGTAGGTGCGGGAGGGGGGGGACAACAAACTAAACGCACAAACACACGCAAGAAAAACTGTTCTAAAAGAAATCAGTTTTTTTATCTGTCACGAGGACAGATCAGATGAGAGATTCAGGCCGCTATGCTTATGCCTTCACGGAAACCACGGCAGGGGTGCGATTGATTTTTGCCCTCTTTCAGTTCTCCGAATCAGCTTCTCCCTTGTCTTCTCAGATCAGCTGGCCGGAAATCAAAATAACAGACATTTTTTTTTCGAAATCAGTAAAAAAACTAAAAAAACTTTCATATTTCGAGAGCCGCAATGTATACCGTGAATACAAAACGGTCCTTAATGAGCCGAATTCTTCCCCGGATCCGCAGGTTGCAGACCTCCGTCTTAGATTTTCTCTCCCCATGACCCATGCCATGTGTTGTTTTTGTGATGCATAACATCGCCTCGAGTATCCAAGTACAACGGGGCTCTATAAATGCAACTGATCATCATCACATCATTATTGTTGTAAGCGGGGGCGGTCACAATTTCTCGCTCGATATTTTTTTCTCCGGAACGCTGCTATGCTGGCTTGGGAGTCAGGGTTATCGGCGTAACGCACTCCCCACTACAGTACAAGGTGCACCTCATCAATTAGCGCGAGTAGGTGAGTGGGTGAGCAGATGTGCCAAACACCGCCAAGGGATGCATCTTGACGTCTTGGTGGACGCGACGCGACACAAACCGTACCATCAACTGCCCTTCGTGTCGCGCCGGTGCAGTTGCACCGCCTGCACACCCGATGGCCACATCTCACACGCGCTCTTGGCACGATCACAAACTGCCCGTTGACGAGCAAACCACGTGACCTCACTCCCCCAAGATGTTCACAAGACGCTGCTGCTCGCGGTTCACTTACTTTCGGTCGGTGATCGCGGTCTTGTTGTGGAATATGTTGCCGATGAGGAAGCCTTCCCTCCCGCCGGGGGGCACAGGAACGTGATCGTCTCCCCGACACGCGGCCAGCACCACGGCCATCCACAGGAGGCCCACCAACCCCATGGCCGGCATCGTCCACCTCGAGTAAAGATCCAGTCAAGTTGGGTGCTCAACCCGGTGGTTGAAGAGTCTACACCGATGAGCTTTGGCCGCTGGTCTCTGGGGCGCAAGCCTCGGGACTTTGAGTCTCGATCCACGCCCCACCTGTGGTCGTTCCCACGGTAGCTGCGGATGAGCCGTGCCCGTTCCGCTCTCGTAGCGGGCAGCCAAGCAGCTGAACACACAGCGCGAGTTTCCCATTTGTTCAGGGAGAGACACAAAACACCTGAGCGCCTGGGTGGCCCAGGAATGTACGAGTGCCGAGTTGGTACCGCAGAGTTGCCGAGGCCCCGTCAGGGTTGTCGCCACCAGTGATTAAAACCCGAATCTCCAAGTGGAGGGGCGATGATGGCCTCAGCCCGGCCACCAAACAAAACAACAAAACGCCGATCGCATTAAAATTGAACAAATTTGTTGGTGATGCTGTTGCTGCGTTGGCATTGGTGCATTAGCGCCAATTAAAACAAAACTCCACACATTCGCCAATAATACTACCTTAAAAACAAGTAATTGAACTCAGGCAATTAGATTTTACATTTATTTTGGATACATTCCAGCTCTAAGAATGAAAAAAAATGGTGTTTAATGTCACACGACAAACATTACTCTTGGTGGCAAGGCGAATGTTGAAGGGCTGTTCCCTACTGTTGAAACAGGTCACTCAGAGATCTCAGCTGAAGCTCTGTGATATTCACTTCCACGGGCTGTTCCCAAATAATACCGGGTCCATATGGTGACACGATGCTGATAGCACAGTTGAGCTATACAACTGGGGGAAATTAACTATTTTTATTATTTAAAGAAACTCAGATGATTTGTCGACTCTTGCTGAATTAGCCCTTCTTGACTTGCCTGGTTATCCCAGTTCACAGGTTATGATTGTTAATTTCAACAGGATAGCCTCACTGAGTCTCAAGACAGCTTTGCCTGGTACGTTAGGCCGTCATAAAAGAGACAATGATTGTTCTCTTTCTCCCTGCTCTGAAGAGCCCCAGTCTATAATTCTACATTACGATGGACTGACAGATGGTTGAACATGTTTTATTTGAATTACTTTCGCGTTGATAAGGGTGTCATTCTTAGTACGCTATGTGTCAATCTGACAAGAATTTACCCACGAAATACATCAAGAGTTTTAACTAACTCATTTAACGCTCAACTTTTGCTACAATTCAAAGCAAGCGTGTGCAGACTAAAGACATCTATAATCAGCACAGCTGTCATTGGCATTTGCCAAGTTATAATCAAATGACGAACACACAACATTCCTAATCACCACAACAGATCTGCGTCGCGTAGGCAGAGCGATGCTCTGAACAAACCCAGAGCACCAATTGGCCCAGTTTTGCACCATTCTTCCGCAAGTTCCACACACGCATCTCATTCCAGTCGGGTCTCTCTCGGCATCGCGTCGCGAGATACCCACGGTGCGTTTCCTCCCCATCCAGACCTCACCCCGCGGCGAGGGAAAGCCCCTGGCTGGTTCGAGAACAACGCTTCACGGCCGTGAAGGTAACGGCGCAGGCGACGGCGTTCTTGGCGGCGGAGACATCGGCACCTCCACTTCGGCTTGCACTCGGCACGGAAGTCGGGGGTACGCGGGAGAAGGGTGGTCGGGCGAGGTTTCGCCAGGGCCAGCTGGGGCCTGCGTCTGGTTTGTAAGTTTGACAGCCGCTGATATAAAAAGTTGCTCTCCCGTGGCCGAAATAAATAAAATGCGCTTCCGTCCAGAGCTATCCCGTGCCGCAGCACGCCTCACTCAATGACACATTCATATTTATGCGATCTAACCCAGAGCCAGAAAAAAAGAGAAATAGCGAGACACACGCAAACTCGAAATATACAGGCATCAGGGTCGGGATCGAACCCACGACCTCCTGCATATCAGGTGAGGTAGTTAACATCTCGCCACTGTGGCACCCACTTCCAATAATCCAAAGTTATTTTAAACATTCATTTCTGCAACATCAGCGGCAAAACCGTGACGGCCATCTCAAATAGCAACACAGCGCAATCCACAGGCACGCAGCGGAAGACCGGCAGAGGACAAGGCAAATAAAGAATCGCAAACATTGATTGTTTAGAAGTTGTTACCTTTATCCATCATCGTGGAGTCTGTATCAGCATCATCATCATCATCACATGTACACACCTAAGACATGCATCGACATTAATCCGTGGGGAAACTGTGATTTGCATCCAGCAGTTGAGAGGCTTCTATCAGAACATGAAATGGGTACATGGCCAGTGACAAATCACCGGAGGCGAATCATCGCACGCAAACTCTCGCTACTTAAGTTATTGTAACATGGAGAGGGGGGGGGGAAACGATTGTGTATCAAAGGAACGCAAATGTTTCTTGGCGGCTCAACGGAAGCTCGACAACAAGCCGGAGTATTTGTTCGTAGTGGGGTTTTGTAGTCAACGATGAACAATATGGGTCGTCGTAAGATTATCCGCATGCCTGTGATTAGGAGTAAACCGTTACAAAGGAGATATATATACAAAGAGCCTTGCTGTACAAGTTTCATAGCTACAAACTGAAAACAAAATACATCTGAAATGTTGGAACTCATGATATGCATTCGCTATACCGAGAGTTCAATTGTACGAGTCGTAGTAATATCGATGGGGCGTTCGCAGACAATGTAGAGATCAATCGGCAGTGCCTCGGTCATCAAATTTCCATCTCGAATCGCCACAAGGAAACCGCGACTACACCGTGTTACTGCTGCTGCTTTATAAAATGGCACGGAGTCGAAAACTCCGCATGTTTACTGCGAGTGGAATTAACGTCTTGATCTGAAAATTCCATTCAAGATTCTACAGCCAATGATCGACATGGAATCCCGGTGCATCCTCCGGACGATCGATTCCACGACATTACTTGCACAAAACATTTTTGGCTGCAACTTTGGTTGCATTCACAGTCGTTTTGAAACGCTGTACCGCGGTTGTATTTTGTATTTTTCCCTTCCAAGCGTTAACTTGGTTTGATTGTTTCTCGTCAATTCCAACGCGATAAGATTCACTCCGCCTCCCCCCCCCGCCCGGAGCAACCTGTAACACCTGTTATGCATTGTGCTCACCGATCCGACGACTATGCAGGCTCAACCTAACGAGATCGGGCGATTGGTCACAGGGTGCAAGGTGGGCCCAGCAGAGGGCGGTGCAGCAAAATCCGTTATGGCGCTGCACTTCTGTGCTCCCACGCCGATCCAGCGCGGGGACGTACGAGCAAATGGTCCTCAGAGAGCCGCGCCGTTTGGCGGTGTGGCCACCGATCCAGCAGCTTGATTGACATCAACAGGGCTGTGCGTGCACGCGTGGAAACTTCACTCGGAATCGACACGAACTGATGAGGCGCGAGTGCAAGGTTGGAGGCTTCTGTCCCTCAGGAGCCTCCAGCCTTGCTCTCTGGGGCATCCCGGTCATCGCACCGACTAACTACAAGGAACATCATCATCATCATCGACCACTCACTGATCACGATGCAGCCAAGGGCTCGTATTCGATCACGGTAAAATGGGCGGGCGAAAATGTTCAAGAGCCCCACAGCGGCATCCTCCAAAGGCCACGCTCGAGGTTGAAGCCAATGGTTGTACATCTGTACACGTCAATCGCCATTTGTCGACCCACTGCTGGATGAGGGTCTCCCCACGCTCGGCGGGTTTACGTTGGGGTTAGTTTGATCACGCTTCGCCGCGCTCGTCAGTGTCGGCTGGTGAAGGTGATGTGCTTAGACGTGGGGGCACATAGGTACAGTACAACAATTCATTTTGCTCAACTGCCCTTCGCGGCTTGCGATGTGTCCCCGCCGCTTATGGCGCCGGTTTGACGCACGGTGGCCGCCCATCCAGGTCCAAGCTACGCAGGCATCAATGGCCGCTTCGCTTACGAGATCCGACGATAAGCAGGTGCATTGCGAGCACGGTGAGATGTGGTCACTTGAACCTCATGACCCTCACGACGTGAGGAGGCTTTTATCTAGCAGTGGATTGACAAAGCGAGAGGCGTACGCACGCAGGCGAGAGCTTTAGAGGCCAAGCCGGCTTGCTGGTGTTAATTGTACTCGCATTCGCAAGTCGCGATATAAATTAATCCTGATGCTGGCATCAAGATAGGGAATGCTCCACTTTTCCACGATGTGAAATCAATGGTCCCGATGTGCGGCATAACCAACCCCCCACCGCCACCACCCATAGAACAATGGCACAACCCCGAGGTGCCATTGGGCCTCCTTACAACCTGGAACGTTCCATGTTTGTGCAGGGGGGGTTTGAAGGATACATCCATGTGACTTGAATGGAGAATTGACGATGGAAGGGGCTTGGACACGTGATGCTCGTGCGGGCGTAAATATTAAATCCATTAAATTATTTGGCCCAAATTGTTTACGTTTTGCCCCATACCAATTTGTACGTGGAAGCTGCTTACAGCACCGTGAATCAAAATGTAAGCATCTCGAATGTTATTAAGTTATTCATTTTTGTTTACCATTATGAAAACATAGGTAAACCATACAAGTTAATACGCTACATGGAATAAATACTGCATTATTATTATCACAAACCAAAAAAGCTACAAGTCCATCAGGATCTCAGAAGTTGCGTATGCAGTTATTACGTTCATTAATTTATGTACACTTTAAATAGTTCGCTATTAATTTCCTCTTGGGAAAAACAAACAAAATATATATTTCAGTGCATAACAATGTGCTGTTATTTGCTTCGAGTGTACATTTTCTGAATGAGCCAAGCATCTTAAACCAGCCACCGAGCGTGAGGAGTAAAACGGCAGCATCGGAAGCACATTCTCGACATCAGCTTTTTGCAGATTTGATTTTAGCATTCGTAGAGCAAACCCAACGTGAAGGCCCCCACCCCCATTCCCTTGGACCTCTCTTCCACTGGACAACCGAGCCACACAAGGGCCCTGCCAAGCCATGTCGAGCGACTGTGGCAAGATGTTAACTACCTCGCCTGGTATGCAGGAGGTCGTGGGTTCCGACCCTGACGCCTGCTGTATATTTGGAGTTTGCATGTCTCTCTCTCCCCGTGGTTGCGTGGATTTTTCTCCGGGTCCTCCGCTTCTTCCCTCCACATTTAGAATCAACATGCGTTGGCTGCTAGAAATGTTCACGTGATAAGCCACTTCATTGAGCTATCATTTGTGGCCAGGTCGCTTCTGAAAGAGCTATATAGTTCAGTGGGCCTTATCTGCTATAATAAAAATTGCTCATCGTTTAAATTTCTATTTAAAGCTTTCGTGACTGCAGGGATTCATATTCTTGGATCTTTCGGTAAAGTCACGTGACTTTACCGAAAGATCCAAGAATATAGCTCATAGTTTAGTAGAGCCAACTCGGGAGGGGCCACGTTATTTTTCCACTGCGGAACCCAAACCGTGCCGCCGACGTCGCAAACGCGTCAGGACGCGTGTCGGTGACGAGGCGACACACCGTGTTGCAGTGGCATCAAGTGAAGGCGCACGAAAGGACTGCGTCATCAACTAGAACTCCTGGCCGCGCTTGGGCCCTGAGCCAGATTCAGGTGTCTCGCAAGGCCAGCGTAGCACAGTTTGGTTCCAGTTCGGCTCGGCACGGCAGATAGCCGGTTGAAAACCACCCGTTACCGAGTGGGTCTCCTCGCGCTGGCTCGGCTAGGTAATGCCAGTGGAAAAAGAGGTGTTAACAACAGACACACCCTGGTTTGCTACTAATGCAATTGCTCGCTATTACCGCTTTAGGAAATAGATTTTGGTCAGTGCGCAAACGCCACATACTTGATTTTCGAGAAAATTCAGCACGTTGCTTTTTTCGTTTTGTTTCCCACTGCCCATGATCGATGGCAGGTCCGGCATCTTCGACAGAAGCGGCGGCCTCTCGTTGCGCGCGTGCGCTGGTCGCTAAAGCGTTACAGTTGGGCTGCTTTGCTCCTCAAGACCGGCTCACACCCCGAAGATGTACGTACAGAGACAGCTGATCGCTCACTCGCTCGCTCGCTCGGTGGGGTGGCGTGGGGTGGGAGAGAAAGACTCTAGTGGTGATGGAACGTTAAAAGCTCCGGTTCAAACGATATACACATGCCACGCCATTGCACATTGACCCACAAACGCTAGACTACGCACGCTTTACTCGCTACCACTCACGAATAGTGGACACCTAAACGGGGGGGGCTATGGCACACCGTCCGATCGGCGAGCGTCGCCTCACGAGGTTCCCGTCGCGCGCCTCCTCCCCCCGCTGCGCTGCGGTCCAGCGTTTGTTCCCAATCGCCCGCCTCGTTCTCCTCTTCCTCCTCCTCCTCCTCTTCTTCCTCCTCTTCCTCCTCTCGCTCCCTCCCACCCCCAACCCCCAGTCCCTTGTTCGCTTTTAAGTCGGACAAAGCACTGTGGAAAGGAAGAGGGAAGCGACGCAAAATTAAAGCGACGAATGCGTGCGGCGCGTGTGCGGCACGAGCACATTCCTGGGAGGCTCAACGGGGGACACACGTGGCGAGCTAGCAGCCCCACCCTCTGCCCCGCCTACTTTTACACAGCCCCGCCCACTCCACCCACTATCCCCACACAGCGAGTGGCTTCCCTCTTGGCCGAAATTGGCCCCGCCTGTTCAGAGGCCCTGCCCACTACCCAGGGAGCCCCGCACACTACTCGGGCAGCCCTGCCCTGCGCCCATGTCATTAGTCGAGGACAGGACGTAAAAAATATGGGACAATATCCTGATTTTCGCAAATGCTCTGGGAGACCAGAGCAGCCTTTCTTAAGCCACTGCAACTGTCCAGTCCCGTTGAAACCGGGACATCCTGTGGTTGCTTTACACGTGTGAACATGAAAATAGCACATCAGATGAAGACAAGGGCCTCCAGATGGTTCTGCTTGTACAACATTGCAAAGCCAATTAAGATCATTAGGAATGTGTGTGTTTATCGTTTGACAAACGTCATTGCAGCTATGCCAAATGGGGGATAATAAAATGCATTCATGTGCATAATCTAAGCTTGAATCAAACTGACATCTCAAGCGTAAATAGCGTTAAAAGACGACGTTTGCTTGGCAAAGTATACGACCAAACACCGGCTAAAGTCTAAACAGCACGACAAACCCATGACAATGATGCAGTGCGGTTAGCAAAAACGTGGCTCCACCTCCACTCCTCCCCCTAACCAGCCAGCAGAAGCCAAACAACCAATCACATGGCTGCGGACTGAGCTCCGTTACCGGCAAGCCACCGCCGATTGGCTGCTTTACTCCGAGAGGGCGGGACTCGGTGGGTAGACGCGTAGGCGACAGGTGGGCAGGTTCGGGTAGAGCCAATAAGGGTCACGTAGGGTCAAGTAAGGTTCGGGTCGGGTCAAGTAGGGTCGGGTAGGATTCACTACAAGGAGAGCGCCAGGTAAGGCTACGCAGAGTGGGGTTTGCAGGTCGTGATGCTCGCAGTCCACAACGCGGATACAGTGTTGAAGCCAATGCAGCCTTCACTCAAGGCTGCCGGTGGGGGGGAGGGGGGGGACATTTAAACAAAATACACTTGCATGGTCATGCATCACCCCGGATGCGATAGCGAGTAAAAATGGCATGGTGGCGGAAGGTTTGCTGGTTGGTGCGACAATAGTTGCCACACCATAGCAGCAATCGCTCCACCACCACCACCGTCTACTCCAGAAGATCAGAAGAGTGAGACATTTGCTTATGCAACGACCAGAGGGGGCAGGAGCAATGCTAAAGCAGGGAAGCGAGGTAAAGTGTGCGTCGCGTCCACATGGACGGCTACGCGCAGCACCGCCACCGCTGCGGCCGCAAAGCCCCGGCGACATGTACTGAACTAGTCACAGGTAACACAAGTTGCACAACACGGTAGGGGAGGCTAAGCGGCGAAGCTGAGAACAAACCTTGGAATAAAAAATGAAAAGTCCCTTCATACGAGAGCTATGTCGCAAAAACACACCGCACGCACCGCACGCATCGCATGCACACACCACACGCACCGCATGCATTCACACGCACCGCACGCACGCCACACGCCAACAAATGGAAAATCAGAGATGAACACGGCGGAAACATAACAATATGAAGATAGGCGTTTTAGTTCAAAGGGAGACGGGACATGGGTGTGACATTTCCGAGAAAAAAAATCTTGGCTGTGAAAATAGCGCCTCCATAGTTACGATTTGCGATGCAAATAAAAGCGATATTTTGGTTAACAACGCGTTTCTCTGATCCATGCCGCAGTCCGCCAGTCACTTTGTTAACCTTCACGATTCGCAGGTCGCGTTCGGCCCACGGAACGTGACCCAGAGAGCGTTTCGGGACGGGCAGTGTGTGCCGTCTTCCCCGGCTCACTACCCCCTGAGCCTCACCGGTTTATTTCCCGTATCTCGGAGCGAGCTGCAGGCAAGAGTTTTAGCCACAGCTAACGTTAAAGGGGCGCCGCGGTGGCGAGATGTTACCTACCTCGCCTGGTATACAGGGGGTCGTGGGTTCAATCGCGACCTTCAAGCCTTGATATTTGGAATTTGCAAGTCTGTCTCTCCCCGTGGTGGTGTGGATTTTTGATCGTGGCTGATAATGCCGACGAGGGACCACTGTACGTCGTGTTCCCATCGCCAGATGACTCGCCAACCCCAACCGGTAGTACGCGGTCACCTCATCTCGAGCAGCGAGCCTCACCTTTGAGGATGTAGTCTGTGAGTAGCGCTGGGACCTTGTCGCTGTCATCCTTCATTGCGTTTAAAACTGGAACGGAAAAGGTTTTTTTGACGTTAGAGGATTATCGGCCGAGGCGGGAAAAAATAACCAATGCACTCCCAATATTGACAGCTCAAGTTTCACGGGACAGAAGGCGAACTTCTGCGCTTGCTGACCTCGCCAAAAAGTTTACGAAATACGTTGTGGGATGCGTGTGCGTGCAGAAGCGTTCATCGTCAAGCGACCCCGATTTCTGAACATTCTGCAGAAGTTGACGATGCTGGGCTGACAACATCTCGTACGCTCGGTCAGTCAAAACGTGACGTATTCACGCCGATCGATTTGGAATTCAAATAGCGTGAACATAATATGTAATTGAATTATTTTTTCGTTGCATTTACTTACAGAAAACCCATTACGTGCATAAGTAAACAAACAAATGAATCAGCGGTGGTGGTGGTGGTGGGGTGTAGAGTTTGAGAGGGACTCACTCTTGGTGAGGATCTGCAGGTCCTCCACGGACGGGGCACCCATCTTCTTCTCGTAAGGGATGACCGTCGTCAGATACTGGAGGGACGACGACACGGACGTGCAAGACAGAAAAAGAGAGAGAGAGGGAGAAATCCTCGTGACCATCGCGGGAGAGCTGACGGCCAGGCCACCGAGCAGGCGGCCCCGGTGGCTCAGAGGACGGAACGCCGAGCTGGAGAGGCCGGGTTCGAATCCAGGCAACCGCCCGTCATTAAACTGGGTGCTCACTCAATTAGGTTCCGCACTTGAGATGTCATACGTGAGAAATCCGCTTTTCTGCCATGCACCTTGCACGCAGCCTTCGTTCATCAGACTCGCGACTGACTCTTACTTGTCTCTCCATGAGTGACAGAGCACTTTGCTTCTCTGGACCAAGACTGTGGGAACTGTGTGAGAGTTCCAAATGGATTCTCTGTTACGTGTCATGACAATGAATAGCATAATCGGTACAAAATTGTCAATATTTGTAAGAAGAAATGTGAACTGCTGCCAGCTGGCGTGACGCGCCATTCCCACGGGGAGGTCGGCAATGAAACGGTGGTGGCAGCTTCTTTAGCGGCGGGAGGTTGGCAAAACCTCGGCTAATCCGGACGTCAGGAGAATTATAAATGTCGCTGCTGCAGGCCCGTGGTGCAGCTCGTTCCGTGAGCCACTTGCAAGGAGGAAGGCGGCCGGGTGAAGGAGAGGACACTTCGATGGTCGCCCCCCTTACCCCCACACTGCCCCCCCCCCCCCCCCACCAAGGCTGAATTAACCTTTTTCACTGCGAGCAAAGAGCCGCACTGGGAGCTGCGCACTGGCCCACGTAATGCGAGGTGGACACTCGTTACAAAGACGTCTGTCTGAGACGAGCGAGTGGGAGGCAAGCTTGTTGAGATTCGACGTGTGGGTATCTCATCGCCCCGGCTACATCCCCTGTCCGCGAGCATCCCCCCCCTCTTCCCTGCCCACGCAGGCACGCACCCGTCCATTGGCATGATTTTGTTGAAACGGGGCGAACGTCAGCATTCAAGTTTATTTCGTTTGTCCAGGTGAGGGACTCAAAGAGGTCAGGATTAGGGTCTCATTTGCAAGAGTGACTTGAGTCTCCAAAATGACAAGAGTAAAAACAAGGAAAATAAAGTACAGCAATGAAGCAAGTCGATATGAGAGCCAAATCAACACACGTCACAAGGTGAACTGTTTTAGATGGTAGTGGGCGAGCGGTGTTGGACGTGTGGTGGTGGGTGAACGGTGTTTGGGTGAGCGTTGGTGGGTGAGCGTTGGTGGGTGAGCGGGAGTGGGCGAGCAGTGTTTGGGTGAGCGTTGGTGGGTGAGCATTGGTGGGTGAGCGTTGGTGGGTGAGCGTTGGTGGGTGAGCGTCATTGGGTGAGCAGTGGTGGGTGAGCGGCATTGGGTGAGCGGTAGTGGGTGAGCGGTAATGGGTGAGGGGTGTTGGTTGTGTAGTGGTGGGAAAATGGCAACTGGGCGAGCGGTGGGTGAATGGGAGTGGGTGAGCGGCGGTCACCTGCTTCTCACATCCTCCGTTTCCGAACGTCTGCCTGATGCCGTTCTGGATGACGTTGGAGAGGTTCTCCATGCTGAAACGCTGCAGCGACACAGACAGAGCAATGTGACCCCGGCACGGGAGACCCAGAGACAGAGCGTCTCCTGTGTGTGTGTGGGATGAGGTGTAATCACGGCTTAAGTTGATTCAAAATTAATTAATTTTCCTCCGGTTAGATCATGTGGGTATGTAAATGAGAGCTATAGCCTCCACCACATCCCGACAAGAGGCACGCCAAGCAAGTCGCCTCGTAGACAAATGCGCCAACTGATTTGCGTTTCAGAAAAAAGGGTATGGAGGGTTTTAGGTTCAATGGACGTGAAACCTACACGATGATCTAACCCCCACTTCCACGCTTCAAAAAATTATTACGAATAATATTGGTCGGTAAAACCGACCGGCCGCTGGTAGACTGCAGTAGGCTTGGAGAGAGGACCGCAGTGGGAGACTTGGCACGGAGCAACTGGACACAACCGCTCAAGGTTCCACGCGTGCTCCGTATCATTGAGCATGATGAGCAGTAGTTGTCTCGGCATCACGAGAGGTATACTGGATGCAGTGTGCGGCATGAGGGCCTGTCCGCCCGAGTAAAATTAAAACCCCGAGTATAGAGAGTTGTGGGTTTGTTTGTTTATTTTTCATTCAAAGTTAATTTGAAATTTTGATAATAAAAAAAAAATCAATCTTTGAACAATCCATCTCGTCTAGCTGTCAGAACGTGTACCATTAAATGAATTTCTCATAGGAGCTCCCCTACTGCTTTACACATGCCAATTTCACAGCCTAGGCAAACATTACTCGGGATTCTAATTCATCTGGTAATTTAATCAAAGCCCAAGCTAATCTTCCCAATGAGATTGGATGGCAACGAGGGGAGCGCGTCAGCAGAGCTGCCAGGCTGCAAACCCTGCCACCCCATCACTCCACTATTTTGCCATGTCCTCTTGCTGCCACCTGCTAGTTTGCTACACCACCACCTCGCTGCCCTGCCAAGCTTAAAATCCTGCCACCCAGCTACCTAACCAACCCCACAGCCACGCTGCGATCCCACCACCCACCATCCCAACCTGACCTGCCACCACCTTGTTAAACCCATGACCCTTCACATCTTCATGTCATGCTGGCATGCTTGACACCATCCCACAATCCTACCCTCTTGGCACTTCACCACCTTGCCACCCCTTTACTCCTCCACACTGCTCCCCTGCTATCACTTTACTCCTACTTCCCACCCTCATGTCACCCTGCCATGGCAAGCTGCTGCTATTCTGGCATCCTACCCCTCTTGCTACATTGCAACCGTGCCACCCCATTAGCCCGCCATTCTCCCACCTCATCACCCTACTGCCATCCCATCATACCACCAACACCACCAGCCCGCTCCACCCCCTACCCCCACCACACCACCTCACCACCAAAACCAACCATCCGCCAGCTCATCGTGCCATCCCACCACCACAAACACAACCCTACCACCACACTGCTACCACCATCCTCATCACGTATGCATGTATGTATATTGAACTTCTTTCACATCGTACGTAGCCAACCGTGCTAACCGAAGGTGTGGGGAACCAACCACCACCCCCCACCACCAATGTCACCCACACCATCACACCTCCACCACCACCACCACTGCCGCACAACTGCCACACCACCACCACTGATGCACAACTGCCACACCACCACTGCACTACTGCCAACCACCACCACCGCTGCACAACTGCCACACCACCACTGCACTACTGCCACACCACCACCACTGCCACACAAGCACCAACCGCCACACCACCACCCTCACCGCCGCTCCAACGCCACACCGCCACGGCCACCGCCGTCACGGCGCCACCACTCACCGCGCTTGGCATGCGGGCGCCGGCGCGCTCCGCCCGGCTGTCGCCGGCGACGCTGCGGCGCTTCTTGCGGCGGAGCGACTCGCGGTGCTCCTTCTGCTTGTTCTGCACGTCGATGAGCGCCGAGATGAAGCTGTTGTTCACCTCCTTCTCGAAGTCGAGCTCGTCGCGCCGCGCCAGCTGCGTCACCAGCTCCTCGGAGAAGCTGCGCGCCGCCGACTCCATCTCCTCCAGCAGCTCCGTGAGCCCCGCCATCGACATGCGCTTCAGCCCTGTGGCGCATCGGCGCGTGGCCACCAGTCACTTCAAGTTTACCGACGACGCTTGCCGCCGCCGCCGCTGCTGCTCGCAACAATAAACTAAACTATTTTTTTTACCACGTATGTTTGCATATTTTGCCACAAGTACGTGTGGTTCATGCAGACTTGATGCCTTGCAATAGGTATCTATTTGGTGTTTGAACATCGTAACACCTGCTTTATTGCCAGAAAGTGTAAAGTCTATTCACATGTTATCGTCATTGTCATTGCCCCACTGCTGCTGCTGTACATTCACACAGGAGTGTTCAAGCCACACCGACTACTCAGACACTTACAAACTACACTCTCCAAAAAATATTAGTATTTTACCAGGTAAGGCCTACTAAGCTATATAGCTATTTTCTAAAGTGACCTGGTCACAAATGATAGCCCAACGAAGTGGCTCAACATGTGTAACTTTATAGCAGCCAAATACTCTAAACGTGTGATGTCGATTCTAAATGTGGAGGGAAAATTCGGAAGACCCGAAGAAAAATCCACGCGACCACTGGGAGAACATGCAAACTCCAAATATACAGCAGGCGTCAGGGTCGTGATCGAACTCACGACTTCCTGTATTCCAGGAGAGGGAGTTAACATCTCACCACCGTGGCGCCCCAACCACTATGCCACCGTTCCCCACAACCGCCACCACCACCAAAGCCACAACCATCATCGGCACTGCCAAGAAACCAGTAGTAGGTGCTTGCCAAAAAGTTGCTCTTTAAAGCGACGGCATTAAAACTGAAATATCGGCTAACGCAAGGCTCGTACACGCTTCAGCGTTTTACTCCTGAAAGCCAAGCGCTATCGATTGACGCCCACATGACAAACGGTGCAAAGCAGCGGCTGTCCCAGAGAGAGACCACAGATGGATTGCGTGACCTTTAATTGTTCGAAATCTGTTTCCGCATTTTATCTCAATCGCGCCATCGTTATGAGACGACAGCGCAGTCAGCTTTGCAACCCCCCGTGGTAGAATACGACGCAAGGAAGTGGATATCATCACAAAGTAGTCTCTGGGATGCCTTCGAGTGATGTCTGCTTCACGCAGCAGAGGGCAGCACTCCCCCACCCGCCAAGCTACAGAGTAATTGTCTCGTGAATTATCCATCGCATGACAAGCTAAATTCTCAAGGCAATATTTTGAAGCGCAAGACCAAATTTTGCACGACGGTTTTTTCTTCTTTCTGTGGACTCATTGGTGACCGGGCTGAGACCATCAACACACGACAAATTGAGAACTCGGTTTTAATCCACGGGCTGCTGCCTGGATTGAAATCCAGGATCTCGGCGGACCTCTGACCTCCGAGGAAACGTGGCCACTTCAAGATCGGGTGACTTTTTTTGTTAAACAACAAGACAAGCTGCCTTATGGCTCATCTGGATACAAGAGCCTTCCCCCAGTTTAGACGAATCCCTTCTCATTGTAAAGGAATTTGAACAACGTCTCCAGAGTAAGTGCTAACAGTTATGGGAATTGACCATACTTCACCACGCTGGTCAGTGCGTACTGCAAAATGGGGTGCGCGCCGATGACAGATCCTGATATGACGCGCCACTGCTCATCCGTGTCCAGGGATTTAACTTAGGTCACCAGATTCCATAACCAAAGTGCCACCCATACATCTGTAGCCAGAAAAAGGACAAAGCCAAAGATCCCCTGTATAGCCTTTCATAGACTCGTGGGGTAAGTGCTGTTAGAGAGCACAGAAGAAAGGCTGGCACACAAGGGGGTGAGTGGCCAGCAACCATGTCCAGCCGCCTTTGTCTTCCTGGTGCTGATATTTATACACCTTACCAGATATCCATATGAGGCTAAGTCGACCTAGGGGAGGCCCAGCAACGGTTCAGATAATCGTCACTGGGTGTTGGCCATGAGCGGCGATCGAACTCGGGTCGCAGGGTTCATAGCAGTGCGCCAATCGCTTCACTACCGCTGCCCACAAGCCAGAAACGCAACCGCCCACCCCACAAGGATGCAACCGTAGCAGGGCCCCCTGCCGTACCCTGTGTACCCGACCCGACACCACCCTGCCGGTGCAATCTAACATCGATCAATAATGTGACATCCACAGTTACATTCATTGGAGCTGATCACAAAGAACAGTGGGGGGGGGGGGGGGTAGCAATTCAATTTCATTAACGACGTGATCAAATTATTGGGAGGAACGTAATCGAATTTTTCTACATTTTGAGAGCTGGCCGGATGGCTCAGAGGTCAAGAGCACCGTGCCTGGCACCACTGATGTCCTGGGTTTGATTCCAGACAGCCATCTGTGATTACAAATTTTCGTTCTCAAGTGCGATGAGTTTATGGCCTCAGCCTGATGATGGATGATTGCACATCCACACACACACACGCGCAAAAAACATCACTTACAAATGTAGCTCTGCACTTAATTTGGTTAAGTTCCAGCTCTGAGAATTAAAATATTTGTTTAGCTGTCATGTGACGAACATGACTGTTCGAGGCAGAGTGATAAAATGCTGCCCTTCTAACTGTGCGGGCCACGCCACTTTGCGAGATCTCAAGAGGTAGCTCTATGACATCAGCTTTCCACGGGGGTCCATTCTCCGACACAAACGGGTGCGATGCTTTGCGAGAGATCCAAATGGTTTTTTACACTGGGATTTTTTTTCATGGGGAAAAAACCCACTGGGGTTAAGGTGGTAGGATCATGGAGTTTAAAAATCCTCATCGGGGTGGTTGTTTTTTTCATGGTGTCCTTTACGATTTGTGCTGAAACCATCAACTCGCTGCACTTGAAGGCCTGGTTTAATCACAGGCAGCTTTCTCCTGGATTCAAACCCAGGATCTCAGTGTTGTTGACTCCCCCCCCCCCCAGCCACCTGGCCACCTCGGTGAACTCGGCGCTCTGATCGAGTGACCCATCCCGGCCAATACGGGCACATGCGAAATTGCACGAGCGCAACCAATGGATGAGCACGCTGTGCCGTTGGCCTGGACTCAAAAAGGCAAGGGGCAATTCTGCCCACCCACACTTATCGTTGGAAAAACAGAAACAAATCAACCCTTTCGCATCACGTTCCATGCGATGTGTCCCACCTGCTAACAGTTAAGCACCAGTGCTGCAGTCATGTAAAATATAAATAAATATTTTTTGCATTTCATAACCACGTTTTTTTTTTAATGCCACAGCCCCATTAGGAGGTAACCTTCAAGGATTTACGTTTTTACTTTGTAAACAGCACTGCGGGTGCATGCCTCCTTCTGCTAATGGGAGACACGCAAACGTGACCTCTGCCAGGGAGGCGGGGATGGCTTGCTCACTCACCGCAGGCAGACTAACTCATCGGCGCGTGAGTGAGTATTTCTGCCTATTTGCAGTGGTTCATGGCTACGCACACTTTGGCACCTTCCCTCAAAACCGCACGAGTATTCCCTGCCTTCACGAACGCTGCGGGGAAAAAAACACATTGGCCCAGGAAGCGTCTCCTCCGATGGATTATGATGCCATTTTATCATTTAACACGGTCAACCACATCCTTGTCTGCTTACCTAATGTATGTTGTTACGCTTAAGAATTGTAGATTATTTTCACCTGTTTAAATGTTTTTTTGTAAAAATTATTGCACATGCGTGCTTATGACTAGATCGCGCTGAACGCATCCAAACCTGGAAACCAGTTGGGATTGGACCTGGAAGCTGAAATGATGGGCGACTATCAGTCGTAACAAAATGGGTGATATCGGCTGTGGGATTACCCAGTGGCTAGCACAGCGAAATCTAAGACTGTACTTGCATTTCTACGTCATCACAACTACGCGCCCGGCCTTCGCCAACCCAAACTGCGTGGTCGAACATCGGCCATGACCGCCAAAGGTGTGGGGATATGCCCTCATCTCTCATCCAGCAGCGGATCGGCAAAGACGTGGCACGCAGTGTGACACATCGGGCGACCGAGACCCGAGCGATGCGGTGAAGCCAACGGCCCGCCCGCGCCCATCTCTCTCGCCGCCCACCGCTATGCGCCCCCGAGACGGAGCTCTCCACCGGTTTCCATGGCCGACCCGCGGCGCCCCTCGCGTGCCAAAGCTCAGGAGAAGGCGGTCATTAAAGATTCATCAAGCTCCTCCGACCCACGGGCCGCGCCTTCGGCATGGATTATTTAGAGGACAGCGCTCCGCGGGGCTGGGTTACGTGCCGCTTCAAGCAGCAGCAGCAGCATGTCCGTACGTGTTACATGCACAGCCCCTTGCTGCAAGACGGGGGGTCCCTACTAGCAGTGTGGAAGGCAGGGAATGCGGACGTGGGGGCAGGCACAGAGTACGGTACGACAATTGATTTTGCTGCGTTGACCTCTTGCTGCCCGCAATGTAGACGCGCGAAGCCAACAACGATCTGCGCATGGCGGTCGCTCATCCAAGCACCATCCAGGCTCAACCCCTGCTTTGCTTCTGCGAGCCCAGGCGATTCTCGTCTTCAGAGGCAACAAGATTGGGCAGCAACAGCAGCGGCTAAGCCATTTAAAACGCACCATTTGAGATGCGAAGTAAACGAAAGCCCCGTGAAGGAGGCCAGGCGACCCAGAGGTCTAAAGCATCGGAGCTCGCACCTCTGAGCCGCTGCGTTCGAATGCGGGCTCTCAGGTATCGCGAGTTGACGGGTTTCAGCCCGGTCACCAGTAAAACACCCGTTAAATCCAATCTGACAAAAAATTCTAGGCCTGAGAAATTAAATGACGTAATTAACTGTAATGCGACTAATTATTTCATAGCAGAGTTGTCTTATGGGAAACAAGTGTTCTGGCCCTCCCACTGTGTAAAGAATATAAAAAGGCCACCCCTGAATGGTATTTTGGGAGGAGGCCCGTGAAAGATGCCTCCCACGGCCACGCTCCGACTCCCACCGGGGGCCACGCGCCGCTCACTGCAAGGTTTCCAAGGGGCTTCTTTCCGTCTCGTGACACGAAGGCAACAGCACGCCGATTGATAATCGGGAGAAAACT